ATCTCCAACCTCACCTTCTGCTCTGCTCTATCTTGTTCCCCAAACTCCAGCAGAACTGGCCTCCTTGCTGTTCCTGGAATGTGCCAGGCACACACCCACCCCAGGGCCTTTGCACTTGCTAGTCCCTCTTCCCCTAGATAACCACAGGGCTTTAAGTCACAGATCAAATGTCCCATGGTCAGTGAGGACTTCCCTGACCATGGCATTCAAAATAGCCCCCTCCCCACATCAGCAATTATTCTCAATCTGACACGCTATATATTGTGTGTGTTTGTTTTTGTTTTGTTGTTTTGTCTGTCTCCACCTCTAGAAGTTCCATGAGGGCACGGGCCTTGCTTTGTTCACTGCCCAATACCCATCACTTCAAATAGTGCCTGGCCTGTGGGACGTGTTTGAGAAGTACTGATAAAATAAATGAATGGGCTAGCAGCTCAAGGTTGTAGCTCAAGGTTGTGATTCTGAGGCCTCAGGGTGTGGGTGTTGGAGGCATTCTGAGCCCAAGGACAGGGTCTCTGAGAGGGAGAATGTTTCTTCATGGGGACATGGTGGTCATGAGGGTCAGTGGTACTGCCAGACTCTGCTCTGTTCTAGAAGAGAGAAGTCCCTCAGATTCTCCTTCTCATTCCCCAAGGACAGGTACCTGCTGCCTTCTGAATGTTGGCCTTTCTGATGAAATCTGCTCCCCAGGGTCCAAAGAACCCTTGATGACCACCTAGGAGGCAGGAGAATTCACTGGGTCAGGATTCTAGAACCTCTAAGTTGTAAGGCTCAGAGTGCATAGAAAGAAAGGTGAGGCCCACGGAGGAGAGAGACTCACCCAGCACTCCTTGAACCGTAGAGGGCAACACAGGCAGGAGACACTGCACCAGAGGACTGAGAAGGGGGCAGAAGCAGGAGAAGCAGGTGAGGGTCTAGCCCAGTACCCCTGCCTTGCTGTGTGGCCTGGGGCAAGTCATACAACCTCCCTGGGTCAGCTTCCCCCATAAGGAAGCCCTGAGCTCACAGGCTGCACATGTGCAGTAGGGCCCTGGCCCCCACCCCTCCGAAGCCCCCCCACTGTGGAGCCGCCAGGCCTTCCTGTTTACTCCAGGCCCCTCTTGAGGCTGGGAGGCGGCAGCCTTGGCCTCCTCTGCTCCCTGCTTCCTTCCTCTCCCACTTCAGTGCCTCTGGCCAGGCCCTCAGGGCCCTCCAGGCCAAGACTTGGGGGCGCAGTCCAGGGGGGGCATCTGAGGCCACCACCCCCGCCGAGTATTCTCTCTCTCTCTGAGATCCTAAGGTCTCTGGCTGGTCAGAATGTTCCGGCACTTTGGGACAAGCCATTGCCTGGAGCATCCCTAGAGACGCAAAGAGTGACATTTATGACTGTCTCCTGCCCGGTCCTGATGCCACGCCCACCTCCCAGCCCACAGGAGCCCAGGAGCAGGTGACCCTGGAGACGTCCCCTGCTCCCCGCCCTTGGACCAGCAGCCCAGCCTCACTGGTCAGACCAGCCCTGCTGAAGCAGAATGAGCTTCCTAAGCAGAAGCGGGAGATTTGTGTGCACTTGTAGTCTGGGCGCCCCACAGTCCTGGCCTTCCTGAGGGATGCCCGGGTGGCTCAGTGGGCAAAGCGCCTGCCTTCAGCTCAGGTCCTGATCTCAGGGTCCCGGGATCGAGATCGAGCCCCGTGTTGGGCTCCCTGCTCAGCAGGGAATCTGCTTCTCTCTCTGCCTCTCCCCTGCTCATGTTCTCTCTCTCTTTCAAATAAAAAACAAAATGAAAAAAATTAAAAAGGCTCTACTGAGCCTCACCTCTTAGGTGTTCTTGCCCCAGAGGCTGAGCCTGAATCTATGAAGCTTTACAACTAACTTCCAGTGTACAAGAAATTTAGGGGATGGAGGAGCAAGCCGGATGACACCAGGAGGAAGCAAAGGATGAATCTGGAAGGAGTTTTCTGCAGGACAGCTGGTGCCTCCACAGGCTGTTGTGACAGCCATTCCAGGCTGAAAGAGGTCTGACAGATGATTGCAACCAAGTGCATGTGTGATCCCGGGTTTACCCTGATTTGAACAAAGACCCATCTTGGGGACAATTGGGCAAAACTGCATGTGAGCTGATTATCCTATATTACGAAATTATCATTAACTTAGTATTATTGGGGACACCTGGGTGGCTCAGTGATTGAGTGTCTGCCTTTGGCTCGGGGTGTGATCCCGGGATCTAAGATGGAGTAACATGTTGGGCTCCCTGCACGGAGCCTGCTTCTCTCTCTGCCTGTGTCTCTGCCTCTCTCTCTGGCTCTCTCTGTGTCTCTCATGAATAAATAAATCTTAAAAAAAAAAAACAAAAGCAAAAACAGTATTATTGAAACTCTGAGCTGCAGTTATGTAGGAAGATGCCCTTATTCTTCAGAATCATACTTTAGGGGTGAAGTTTTTCTCGTATCTGTAATTTACTGTAAATACTCGGTCGAAAGCAAAACAATAATGAAGGGAATATAGGGAAATAAAAGTTACTAAATGTTGGTGACAGGTGTTATATTATTTCCTCCAATTTTCTGTTCCAAATTTTTTTTTTAAAAATAGTTTTTAAACTTTTTTTTTTTTTTTTTGGAGAGAGAGTGGAGTGGGAGAGGCATGGAGGGGCAGAGGGAGAAAGAGAGGGAAAGAATCCTCAAGCGGACTCCCCACTGAATGTGGAACCAGACACAGGGCTCGATCCCACAACCCTTAAATCATGACCTGAGCTGACATCAAGATTCAGATGCTTAACCAACTAAGCCACCCAAGCACCCTCCCTCCCCCAAGAAAACCTCTTTCTGAGCCTCCCATGACCCTTAGGGGAGAGATTAGATACTTGGTTCAGCATTTAAGGCCCTGCAAATCTGGCCTTGTCTTTTGCTACTGCACCCCCTCTCACCTGCATCCCACCCAACAGGCTTCTGTGCCTCTGCAGAGCTATTCCCTTTACCCTTCCATGACCTCTCTAATGGTGAAGTGAGCTCCTAGGTATCTACAAGGCCCCACTACAGATCTCCACCTCAAGGAACCGGCTGCCAGCAGGAGCCCCTCTGAGTCTGTGCACTCAGCTGCCCAGACTGGTCTCAGTTTTGTGACCACGGCCCCCTCCTCTTGCTGAGGGGCCATATCACAGCAGGTGGGGGCTTATGAGCCTCTGCTTGCCAGCATGGCTGGGGCTCTGGAAAATTGCTAAGTGAATGAACACGCATAAAGGAAACCCTCGAAGAGAGGTCTGTGGTGGCAAGGATGGGGTGGTGGTTACTGGTGCTTTTACATTTGTGTATGTCTCTGTGTGTGTTTTCAAGTTTTCAGCTTGTTTTTTAAGTGAATAAAGTAACTCTGCAGCCAGCAGTAGTTTGAGTCAGCTTAGGTTTTCATTAAACTGGACACACCTGATTCGATGATGCTATAATTAAAAATAATAAAGATCATGAAGATGTTTCTGTCAGGTGAGTTCTCTAGCTATTATCTCTGGCATGTCTTTCCCGCTCATCCTCACGCTGATCCGACAACCCTGAGCTAGAAGGTGTGTACGTGCATGGGTGCGTGTGTGTATGTGTGTGCATGTGCATGCGTGTGCGCACACATTAACCTGCTTGGATGGATGTGACCTGGAGACTCGGTGGTAGAAGGTCACAGAGCGACTGAGGCTCCCCCTTGCACTGCAGGGCAGAGGGCTTTCCTGCGCGTCTACCCAAGCCAGAGGGCTCATCCCCATGTGATGCCTGCTTTCTACCTCCCCTGGGCTCTCATTTATTTGTTCTGTGTTCTTATTTCAATAGACCCACTTTTATAACTTAAATATGTTTTATTTTAAAGGAAAGTTTCGGGGCAGCCTGGGTGGCTCAGCGGTTTAGCGCCGCCTGCAGCCCAGGGCCTGATCCTGGGATCCCAGTATCGAGTCCCACATCGGGCTCCCTGCATGGAGCCTACTTCTCCCTCTGCCTGTGTCTCTGCCTCTCTCTCTCTGTGTGTCTCTCATGAATAAATAAATAAAATCTTTTAAAAAAATAAATAAAGTTTCAATAACTAATGTAGATGGAAAACCAGCCACACTTGCCATAAAGAAAAGGGGATGCAGCATGGGCACAATCAGCCCCATGTGGGGTTTTGTTTTGGCCCAGTGTGACCCGCTGAAGGCCCTCTTGGCTCTAGAGGAGTCAGCCTGGGCTGGGACAGGTGTTAAGGATACGTGAGCACCAAGTTGAACCTTTCTCGGTGATGAGGTCAGAGTGAAAGAACAGGAAAGGGAAGCGAGTTCTCCCCCCGGGGATTCTGGGACACCCCAGCCCTGCTCATCCCCAAGGCCGCTCTGATCTCAGTTCCCACAGCCATGATGACCAACAGCCTATACCCTCATCCAGTGTGTCCTCATCCTATCCTTGAGGGGTGGGGGTCTCAGGAGGCATGGACCCTAACTCAGATTTGGAAACGGGCTCAGAAAGGGCAGGTTGTGATTTGTCTGGGGACATCATGGTGGGAGATCCTCCACGTCTCACCTCCTCAGGGAGGTACCACTGACCATTCATCTCGATGCCCTTTTCAGACACTCAGAGTTTCTTTTACCCAGGAAGCCAATTCAACACCCACCCTGACAGCTGATGTGTGCCACCCTGCTGCCCTGGAAGCTCCTCAAAGCCCATGACCTCGCTGCCTATTGCACACAGGCCCCAGTGGCATTAAGCACAGAAAACACGCTCAGATTGATGAGGGGTCAGAGCCAAGGCCACACAGCAAGGACCTGGAGGAACCCAGGTCGGGCTCGGCTGTGCCTGACAATCCGTCTCTGAGAGCAAGGATCCTGCCTCAGTCACCCTGGCCCCCCAGACTCCCCAGGCCCTGGGTGAGGAAGGGCCCTGGGTCTTCCTGTGGTACTAGGGGGAAGGCAGCTGGCCAAGGTGGGCTGAGGGGCCCGAGGGAGCCCGGGAGGGTGAGGGACTAGGAGAGGCCATCCCATGTGGATCAACTCCAGTGAAAGCAAAGAAAAAGGAATAAGACCGAATGTCCTTGGAAATTCCTTTAGTGCTTGGCTGTCCATGAAAACAGGATAAAGTGGCTTCCTCTGTCTGTGCTCCAGCCGGGCAGGGTGGAGGCGCTGAGCCCAGGCCAGGACAGCCTCAGGCAGGACAGGGGTGGGGCGGGGCTCGGCTGGGGAAGGGGCTCTGGGACTGCTACTTGAGGGCATCCAGGTGGTTGCAGACTTGGGAGAAGACATTATCCACGGAGCCTTCAGCATTGACCTGTGGGGAGAGCACCGGAGGGGCAGAGGGGACGGGGAGGTCTGGGCGGGCCCACCGAGGCAGGGGCTCACTCCCCGCAGGGGCCTGGCCTGGCTGCAGAGCTCGGAGCCCTGCCACAAGGGGCAGCAGCCCATCACCGCGCCACTGGGGGAACCAAAGGAGGGCTGGCCCCAGGTCACCGGGATTTTGGCCACCCCGAGCAAAAACCCGGTTTCCCAGGGCCCCCCGCGGCCTGCAGAGGGCGCACCTTGCGTACGATGCCACGTTTCTCATAAAAGGCAATGACAGGTTCTGTGGCCTTGTAGTAGGTCTCCAACCGCTTCTTGATGGTCTCCTCATTGTCATCCACTCGCCCGCTGGTCTCTCCACGCTTCAGGAGCCGCTGGGTCATGGTCTCTGGGCCTGCGTCCACATACAGCAGCAGCGTGGGCTGTCCAATCTGCAGGTGGAGCAGTACTCATAGGGGCCCCATTCCTGCCCCTGGGCCACCTCCACCCTGTCCTCCCGCATCCCAGGCCCCACCTGAGACCCACTCAGACCTCCAAGCCTTTCCCCAAGGCAGCCTGAGGGACCTTCCAAAAACCACTGCCCTGCTCCCCACCTCTCCCATGGCTCCCCAGTGCCTTCAGAGGACGGCTTCCTGCCCTCCTCATCTTGTGTTTCCCACTCCTTGGCTCTCCTTGCTTCAGCCACGTGGACTCTGTAGTCTGGGCTCTCGTCAGCCTCCTCCCACGCCAGGCCGTTGCTCATGCCAGAAACTGGCCTCAATACCAAGGCAGGCCTTCAGTGCTGGCCTTCAGATTGGAACAAAAATCTCGTTCCTCCAGGGCAGTCTTCCCGGATGCTACCCCCACCACCATTCCCAGCTCCCTGCGGGAACCCCACCACCACCACCCCGTTTTCCTGCTGGGCATCTGTTTCAGGCAGCTCAGAGCCATCTTCCCTGAGGCCTACCTTTTCCAGCTGGACTCTCTGTGGCCCAGAGAAGGAGAATGGACTCCCTGGCTTTGGAGGCCTCCAGCCAGGCCTGAACACCATTTCCCACATCTGTCCTGGTTGCCCTGTCCCAACCCCCTTTTTAAAAAAATATTTATTTATTTATTTATGATAGACATAGAGAGAGAAAGAGAGAGAGAGAGAGAGAGAGAGAGAGAGAGAGAGAGAGAGGCAGAGACACAGGCAGAAGGAGAAGCAGGCTCCATACAGGGAGCCTGACGCGGGCTCGATCCCGGGACTCCAGGATCGCGCCCTGGGCCAAAGGCAGGCACCAAACCGCTGAGCCACCCAGGGATCTCCTGCCCTGTCCCCTTGATTCTGTTCTCCCCACACCAGCCTGACCCTTCCAGCCAAGTCCATCCTGCCCTCTCCTCCGCCCAGAATGTCTCAGGGGGTATCTGGTGATTTACTTAGTTTCCCTCTCCCCTGCCAGCCAGGGGCCCCTGAGGGCAGCGAGGCATCTGTCTGCACAGCAGAGCTGGGCAAGGACTTGACAAGGGCTGCCTGGAGGGGTGACGGCCCCGCTGAGCTGGGAGTGGTGGTGGTGGGGTTTCTGAACAATGTCATTGTCACTGGAATAAACATTTCATCCCGCAAAGGGTGAGGAGCAAGGCTGACCCATCCTCAGTCGATGAGGCCCTGATGCCCCCTGGTGTCCAGATCTGAGAAGACCAGGTGCCCGGACCCTGGGAGGCCTTGGCAGGGCTGGGCCCTGTGCTGAGTCCACTGCCCACAATAGTGCCAAAAACAGCCCCAGGAGGGAAGGAGACTTTGAGTAATCTCATTTTCCAGGTGTGGCCCTGAGGGTCAGAGATGACATCACACAGCTGGTATGTGTGTGTCACAACCGGACATGCTTCGAGGCTGCCTAGCACCTGACCACAGTGTCCATGCCCTCCTAATCTGAAGGAAGCCCAGCCAACTTCCATTTTCAAAGATAGGGAAACTGAGGCCCATGATAGGGTAGACACTTTCTTGAAGTCCTGCAGGCACTTAAAGGTCAGGAAATACAATCTCCTACCTCTGGATGAGGCTCAAAGCTATGGAAACTCAATGATAGCCCCAGTCTTGCAGGCTTGGGAAGTGGGAGTTGAGGGACTGGTCCTGCTCCAGCCTACTGGGATCTACTAAGAGGCCCTCCTTGAGCCCGCCCTACCTCTTGCTACTCCCCCTCCCCTTGCAGCTCTGTTTCCCTAGTATGACCTGTGACACCAGAGGCATGGGGGTAGGGGTGTACAGCCCTGTGTGCAAGTGTGCTGTATCAGTGTGCATGCACTGTGTGAGCATGTGTGTATGTATACTGCCAGATGTGTGTGCACATGCATGCATGCCTGTGCACATGTGTGTCTGTCCGTGGCTTTGTGCACACTGTGTGTGCTCTGTATGTGCTCACATGTACATGTGCTTGTGTGCCTGTGTGTTTGGGAAAGGTGTCCCCCACCCCATTTTCCTGCTGGGCATCTGTTTCAGGCAGCTCAGAGCCATCTTCCTTGAGGCCTACCTTTTCCAGCTGGATTCCCTGTGGCCCAGAGGAGACTGGACTCTCTGGCCTCAGGAGCCTCCAGCCAGGTCTGAACCCTTTCCCACATCTGTCCTGGTTGCCCTGCCCCCCAGCTGACCCTTCCAGCCCAGTCCATCCTGCTCCCTGCCCCTCTGCCTACATGTTTATAAGATGCCAAGCCCCACTTCTGAAGGGTACATTCTCTCTCATCGCCATTCTGCTCCATAAGGCAGCCGCCAACTCTCTCCCCCTATTTTGCAAATGGGGACACTGATGAGGTTCCAGGAGGCAAAATGATTGGCCGAAGGTCTGCTGAGCCAGAACCTGAGCTCAGGTTTGTGAGCTCTCCAGTCTGTGCTTCCTCTTCTTAAACTCTTCCCTGGTTGCCCTCCTCACCCTTCTCCCCTCCCCGACCCCACAATCAGTCTCTCTCTCTGGCCATAATGGCAGCCTCTGCCTGGCTCCCCCACCTCACAGCTCCCAAATGTACCCAGCAGGTTGCACCTTACCCTCCGCTCAAACTCCTCTCCCTGCTGTACCTCCCGAGGGTAGCCATCGATCAGGAAGCCTTTGGAAGTATCTACCTTGGCCACCATGGCATCTCGGAGCATGTCCAACACTGTCTCCTGGGGGCACAGGAAAAGATGGCGGGGGTCATGAGCTCCTTCCCCTATCTCTTCCTCCAGGCCTCTGCCCTAATAAAGGTGTTCCAAACAAGCCTCCCTCTCCAGGAAGCCTCCTTTGACTGTGAGCACTTGACTGGTTGATCAAATCATTCATTCATCCATCCATTTGTTCAACAGTATGTACTGAATCCCTCCTCTCAGCCAGCTCCTGCCCAGGAGGACCATGGGAACAAAGCAGAACCTCCTCAAGAAGCTCACAGTGTGGTGATGTTGATTAATCAATTTCCAAGCATGACATAGGTTGAATGGGCAAAGAAGGAGGGCTTTTGTAGTTATAAGATTGGGGGTCTAAGCTCAAATCTGTGGAGCCAGGAATGTCTGAAAGGAGGAGGAAAGAACATTCCAGGCAGGAAGGAGTATGATGAGATTGACAGGACAGAAAGGCCAGGGCAGCTGGAAGGTGGAAAGTTGGGGTGGGGTAGGGTGAGTGGGTAATGTGAGGCTGAAGGGGTCAGCAGGGCAGGGTCCTCAGAGCTCTGGGAGCTTCTAGAAGGAATTTCCCACCAACGGCAATGGGGACTAGAGCAGGAGTGTTTGGAGCCGGGGAAGATCAAGGCAGCATTGCCAGGGCATCATGGGCTTTGCTGGCTGGAGCCCGCTCAGGGCCACCATCACCCCCCACCCCACCGGGCCCACTCACCAGTGGCACCAGCTGCCCCTTCTCCATGATTTCCGACAGCATCTTGCCCCTGGCCGAGCCTGAGCTGACCTCGGCCCTCAGGAGGTCCCCGGTGGAGAGGTGGGTGTAGCCGTACTTCTGCACAATCTTCTCACACTGGGTGCCCTTCCCTGAGCCGGGCCCTCCTGCAAGCGCCCACCCATTCGGAAGCCCCATGAAATGGGAGCTGCTGCAGGGACAGGATCTGCCCAGATCACCCAGTGAAGGAGGGGCGGAGCCCGGGGTGCAGCCCCCAGGCCCAGGCTCCCACAGACACCTGCAAAGAGCCTCCCTGCTTGCTGTCTTACCCGCCTGCCTTGGACTCACCCACCACAAAGATGATTTTGGTTTTCTTCAGCTTCTCTGCGGAAGAGAAAAGGGGAGCAGGGTTCAGTCACTCACTTGACAAATAGCCAGAAGCACCTCTGGAATCCCAGGCCCGTGCCAGGCCTTAGGCAGAGGGACAGACACGGCTCCTGCTTCTGCCCAGAGTGTCCGGTGACAGGGGAGCAAAGCTCAGCGGTCAGGGAAGGGGGGGGGGTATTCCAGGCAGAAGAACCAGCACAGGCAGAGGCCTGGAGGCTCCAGACTTGGCACAGGCTGAGGACCACTCCAAGGGGCTCAGAGGCCACCCCTCACCGCCCCTCCCTGTGGGCAGCTGGGCTGCAGCGGGTCACCTCTGGCCTTAGAGTCTTCCATGTTGCAGTGGTTTCTGGAGCAGTAGGCACCCATGGTCCTGTTCTCCCGTGTCCCCTAGCCTTCCCCTCCCAGACCCTGGGCCTGCCCATTGCCCGCCTTCTCTGGGCAGCACAAGTATGGAGTTGGCAACCGCAATATATGTTGCCCTGGAGACTGTTGCCAGGGAAGAGGGCTGCGGTGGGCATGTAGAACCCTTGCCCAGAGAGGGAGGTGAACTCAGGCTGCAGCCTCTGCCTTGCCAGCCCTTAGAACTCAGCAAGACCCCAGCCTCACCAGACAAGGGAAACAGGCTTGTAGAGGCCAGGGCCTGCTCTGAGGATGCCGGGCCTGGAACTGGAACCTGGGCCCTGTTCCCAGACTGCTCAGCCTTGCCCTCTTCTCAGGCAAGTAGGCCCTCACTATGTCACCTTAGGCAAGGATCCCCACCCCTCCCTGGCTCTCTGTCCCTCCCAAGGAAGGCCTGGCAGCTCCCAGGGGCCCTCTGGCCCTGAGGCTGGAGGCCTAGAGGACCTGTCAGAAGAACAACTCCTTGTGTGGGTTCCCATCAACTGCCTGCCAAGTGCCTGCCAAGTGCTGGGTACAACCTGGGGGTGGGGGGAGGCCACACCCCAGGGCCAGCTGATGTCTGGGGCCCAAGGGGAAGAAGGGTGACCCAGGCAGCAGCAGCAGGCTCCTTTAAGAGCCGCCCAGGCTGAGGCACAACACCAAGGATGGGGCGGTGAAACTGCCAGGAGGCAGGCCAGCCAGGCACCCTGCTGGCTGCACGTCTCCCTCCTGTCCAGGCCCAGAGCAGCCAGGAGGGCCCACAGTGTTCTCAAGACCCACCCCCTCTGGACAACAGGGGAACTGAGTCCCACAGAGGGGCTAGACCTCACCTCGTCCTTGTCAGGCTTGGCATTTGTACACTTGGGGCCCATCCCCAGGGCCAGCCACCCCCTTGCCAGCACCCACCCTTTCTAGAAAGAGGCAGGGATTCAGCTCTATAAATATCAGCGTAGGAGGTGAGCTATGGGGCCCTCAGGAGCCTCACGGAGGCCTCATTGCTTCTAAAATTAATCTTGGAGCTGGCAGATCCCATGAGATGCCTGAGGAAGATGCTGGAGGCTCCCAGGCAGGGCCCTCTGGCAGCCCCAGAACCTCCTCCAACCCTTCTCAGAACGTCTCCTGAAAGCACACCCCCTTGACAGATGGGCACACTGAGGCCCAGGCAGTGAGCAGGAAAGAAGAGCCTCGGTACCTTCCATCCTGCTGAGGTCCGGGGAGCCGAGTCAGCACACTGCAAGACAAGGGTACAGGCAGGGCAGGTGAGGGGGACCTTCCTCCACCTGCCCTGCTCCTGCCAGGCTGCATGGTATGCGCCAGGCCCTGACGCTCCCAAGGGTACAGGGCAGGGAAGGCCCCGAATGTTGGGTGACCTTGGGAAAGTCACCTTTCCTCGGTGTGCTTCCGCGGCCTTGCCTGCAACAACAGGGCGGCAGCCCCTTCCCGTTCACCTCTTCCCGCTGGAGGAGCCAGTGGTGAGGACAGTCCTCAGGGACACCAACAGTGGCGTCAGCAACCGCTGAGCGGCTCCCCTAGTTAAGTCCCAGAAAGCAGAAGTCTGCCCAACACCTTGGCAACACTCCCTAGGGCCAGGAGGAAAGCTTGCGGAGGAGAGGCCGGGGTGGGAAGCCCTCTTGAGCTGCATGTGTCTTCCTCTGGGCTGGGATTGGGACAAGGATGCTCAAAGGGACACAGAAGCCTGACAGGGAGGAAGCTGCGGGAGTTGCTCAAGTGGACACAGACCTGGAAAGTTTTCGTGGGGGGGGTCTCACCCCCTCATACGGCCCCTGCACTCTCACCCCCTTAGGATCTTGCTGCACCCCCTGCCTTCCTCTCAGCATGTGAGTCAACCACACCCCCTCTGGGGACCCCACTCTGCTCCAACCTCTCCTTCCACCTAGAGTTGCCACCTACATACCCACCTGCCCTCCCCAAGGCCACCAGCGACCATCACAGCCACTCTTGCCCTGACCTTTGACGCCCAACTCTTAGCCGGCATTCCCTCTGCCTGGCATCCCCCCAACCCCCTTACTTCACCCTCACCCTGTTGGCTTCAGGTTCCCAGGATCCCTGTTTCTGCCCAGCCAAACCTGGCCCTCCCTCCCCAGCCTACGGTCCCTGGACAGGCCTGGAGTGCCCACAGACTCTCCCATGTTCCCAGTTCCATGCCCTGTTGCCCAGCCAGAGGCCCCAGTCTGTGTGAACATCCTTCTCCCACACCCCACTTCACCCCTGCACATGCATACCCCCTCTCTTGCTCCTGAACCACTCTCCGTCCAGCCTGTGTCCTCACCACCACTTCCTTGTTCCAGCCAGGGTGCCTGGCCACTGCCCCAGCCTCCCATGGGTCTTCCTGCCTCCATACCCCACCAGGCAATCTGCAGGATTCTTTCTGGTCAGCATCAGACCACATCGCTCACCTGCTTAAAACCCTTCCATGTGGGGCCCCCTCAGCTCCCAAGATAAGCCTGAGCCCCTAACATGGATGATAGGGCCCAACAACCTGGCTCCTGCCCCCCCCTCTGCAGCCGTAACAGCCACCATTTGAACAGCTTGGAGCTTCCTCACCCCCCATGACTGTGCCCCACCTCCAGACCCTGATGCCTGGATGCTTTTCTCCAGGTGCTACTGTCCAGGATTCAGTTCAGGTGTCACCTCCTCCTGAAAGTCTTCCTGGACTTTGCCCTCCACTCCTGGACTTTTTGCCTTCTTTGAATGCCCCCAGCACTGCACACACCACATGGTATTGGACTGCTCTGTTGTGCAGTTGGCCTATGTGCCCCACCAGACTGGGCCTGGGCCTGGCTCTGGGCAGAGCAGAGGGCCGGGTGCCTCACTCTGTGCTCGGAGCTGTCTTGGAAGGTATTTGAGGCTTAGAGAGGAGCAGAGACTTTCTCCAGAGACTGGCTGGGGTCAGACTCAGGCTGCATTTTCTGCTGCTTTAGGCCTGGCACCCAGTAGGTCTTTGAGCAGTTTTGCTGACTGTCCTGCCACTCGTGGGGCATGAGTTATAGCCTCTTTCCTGCTGAGTGTGCTTAAGGAAGGGTAGAAACAGCCAATGCTCCGAAGCAGCTGGCAAGGGAGGTGGAGGGTCCCAAGGCCAGGGAGAACCTGCGGTGACACCCTGAGGAGTGGCCTCGCACCCACCTTGCCCTGCCTCCTCCCAGTAACCTAAGCCCCTCTGCCCTACTGGCACCTGCTACTTCCTTGGTCCAAAATAACTTGGGTCGTGAGGAGGCCTCCCAGAGGCCAGGGGTCCAGGATGGAGTTGGGTTACCGGCTCAGCACTGAGGCCTTATAAGGCCCCTGGATCCAGGCTGCAGCAGCTCCACTTGAGACTGGGTGGTCTGCCCAGGGGCCTGGGGAACTGAGGCCCAGAAGGACAGTGGCTTAAGGGTTCCTCCTCACTCAGCTGTGTGACCTTGGGCAGCTGGCGTCCCCTCTCTGGGCCTGCACCCCCAGGCCCCATCCTGCTGTTGCTGGAGACTCCTGAGTGAATATCTGAGCGGTGCTCAGAGAAGGTCCCATGTGTTGGCCCCGGGGCTCCCTTAGAGCCCTCGCCCTTTCAGGAGGCTGGGGCAGGGGGCCAAACATCCAGGGGGCTTCCTGCCCCCCCCCCCCCCCCCCCCCGCCCGCCCGCACTCAAAATGACGCGGCAGGATACCTCCTCCAATCTCTTGGGCTCCCGCCGGGTCCTCCAGGGCAGGCGTCGGGCCACAGCCCCCTTCCCTGGGCCCCAGCCGGGAAGTGCCAAGGCAGGGGCCTGGAGCCCCCGGCCCCCCCGGAGTGCCCGCGGGGACAAAGGGGCGTCGGGCTGGAGGCGAGGCGGGAGCGCAGCACACATCCCCCGACCCGGGCACACGCACGGTGGCACGAACACCCGCAGCAGAGCCTGGGAAGGGCAGACCGGCGAACACACGCGGGTCCCGGCCGCCCATACAAACCCGCAGCCGCGCGAGCCGCAAGGCTCCCGACACACGCAGCGCCGCGCCCGGCGCGCCGCCCCCACCCCCGCGGAGGCGCCCCCCGCCCAGGCCCGCAGGCGCGCAGCACTGACCTGGGGGAGGCGTGCGGCGGGCGCCGGGGCCGGTGGTGCCCTGCGCGTCCTCGCCGGCCGCCCGCAAAGGCGACTATTTATAAGGCTGTCAGCAGCGCGCAGCATGCCGGGAGCCAGCGCTCGGGAGGGCAGGGAGGAGGGAAGGAAGGAGGGAGAGGGGCCCGGAGGGAGGGGGCGCCTGGACCCGGGGAGCCCCGCTGGGAGGCCGGAGCCCCGCGCCCCGCCGCGCCCCGCCCCGCCCCGCCCGGGGCATCTTACCCCCGGGGGCTGCGCCTGCAGGGCTTCGCGTCCCGCGCCACCGCCGCCGGTGTACCCACATCACTGCGGGGGGGGGGGGGTAGGGTCGGGTTTCTTCTGTAACAACTGGGGAAACTGAGACTCAGAGACTAGAGGCTCTGCACAAAATCCCGCCACAAATTGTGGGCGAGACAGCAGACCCCAGTGTGGGAGACAACCAATGTATGGATTGGGGGGCAAGGGGGCTTTGCTAGCCAGACCAGGCCCCTGCCCCTCCTGAGATGGTGCCCAGAGGCTCTTGGGCCGAGACTCACCTGGAACTCCTCGTCTCCTGTTAGAAGGGGCCAGAGAATTTCTCTGGGACTGAAACTCTCTCAGGACCCCAAACGCCATTCATGTACCCATTCCCTGGCTAGTGGTTGTATCGGGGATAAAAAATCAGCTCTGCCTCCAATTATCTGCCAGGCAGCTCCCACGAGGTGAGCACGAGCATGTGGGACATGCAGAATGCTGAGTGGGACGCGGGTACCCAGATGGGGGACGGACAATCCCGACAGAACAGCTCCCATTTATGAGCACTCACTGTGCCAGGTGCTGGGCAGGGCGCTGGGCTCACACTGGGCCTGTGGATCCTTAAACACAGTGGAAACTGAGGGTCACGCCTGCAAGATAGCCTGCCTGGGGTCCCCAGTATGAACCTCTGTGAAACCTCTGAACCTGAAACCTCATTTTGGGACAAAAAATTTCATCCAGTGTTAGACGCAGGGATTTCTGAACTATTGAACTGGACAAAGGCGTATATGATGGAGCACAGAGCTGCTGCACCTGTTATTTTTTTTTTAAGATTTTATTTATTCATGAGAGACACACAGAAAGAGGCAGAGACACAGGCAGAGAAGCAGGCTCCCTGCAGGGAGCCTCATGTGGGACTCTATCCCAGGAACACCCTGAGCCGAAGGCAGACACTCAACCACTGAGCCATCCAGGTGCCCTGCACCCCCATTCTTAACAAATAATCAACAAAGGTGATACCGAGAATCACAAATCACAAATCAACAAGTTGATTATTTTCCTAGCAACTGTCATAATGTATTAGAAACCTGACACACTGTAAAATGTCAGTCTCTCTTCAGCCATATGTTTAGAAAACAATTTGTGTGGTCTTCCTAATACTGCAATTTGCTGATAAAGACCCCTGGCTTCCCCTCCTCACTGGACGCAATTTGGGTCGCTCCCCTGAATCTATGCTCCCCAAATTACAGTTCTCAGACCCCAAATAAAGGCTTTTGTTTTATTTCAGTTCTTTCTCTTAGTTCAAATAGGCAGAAGTGATGTGTTCCTTCGTGGAGACCAGCACATAGCAGGAGGTGCTCAATAATGTAGCACGGCAGAGACCAGGACCATGCAGTGTCAGAACTCATGCAGCTGGCCACCAGGCTACATCATGACCTTGAAGGTAGCAGTCCCAGAGAGTGGTGAGTTGAGCTTAAGAGTTTGTCTTGTAGGCACTAGAGAGCCATGGAAGGTGTTTGAGCCAGATAGCGAGAGTACCAGGAAAGTGAGACTGTATCAGGTGGGTGGTTCCTGAACAAAAAAACTAGCCAGGACAATAAGGCCTGGGTCTCGTCCTAGCTCTGCCACCTGTGACATGAGACAAGGTCCCTGTTTCATGGGACCTTCATTTCCTCCATCTGTGTGGGAGGAGTAGGTGCTGGGCCAGAGGTTCTGCCTTAGAAGTTTGAAGCTGAAGTTGCTTGAAAGTCCCTCTCCAAAGCTGTAGGTGACTGAGTACCCTGGCACAATCTTTGGGGAAAACAAACTGATGATGTCCATCAAAACTTCAAATGTACCCTTCTTCTTTTAGGAATCTCTCTCACACGTGGGCACAAAATGTGTACAGGATGGTTCTCCAGTGCCAGTGGGTGTGACTGATGGGAGGGAGGTGGTACAGCCAGGCTGGATGGGGTGGGACTCTGCAGCAGAGTCCGCATGAGAAAGGAAGCCAGAGGTCTGTGTGACTGTGATGCAAGAGAAACAGGCAAAGAGCCCAGGGAAAATAATTCTAAACATGCGGGGGCATGTGTGTAAAATCTCTTCCTCCGGGTTTGGCTTTCTTGGGGGGGGGGGGGTTGTTTTTTTGTTTTTGTTGTTTTGCATTTTACCTTCTCAGAAATCGTGTTGTCTTAAAATCAAATTGATGGTATCTTTAAGTCATAAAATGAAGCAGAACGGAGGGGGCAGGGCGGGGGTGTGCTCATGACCCCCTGATGAGGTGGGACTTTCACTTCTTACTTAGAGGATGGTTTGCTTGCTTGCTTGCTTTCTAAAAATAAGACAAGCACCTATTACTTTATACATAAAACAATTTTAACACGGATGTACCTCGAGGACCTGATGCTAAGTGAATAAGCCAGTCACAAAAAGAAAAATATTGTATGATCCTACTTATATGAAGTATCTAGAGTACTCAAATTCATAGAAGCAGAAGGCAGAAATGGCAACCAGGGGTTCAGTGGGGAAGGGGAAATTCAGAGTTGCTGTTTAATAGACTTTGACTTGCAGGCACATGAGATGAGAGAAAGTTCTGGAGATGTTTTACAACAATGTGAGTGTACTTCACACTACCAAACTGTAGTCTTAAAAATGGGTAACTGGTAAATCTTATGTTTTTTTTTCCCCAATAAAATAATTTTTAAACCTTAAAAAAAGAGGAGCACCTGGGTGGCTCAGTGGTTGAGGGTCTGCCTTCTGCTCAGATTGTGATCGCAGGGTCCTGGGATCCCACATCAGACTCCCCACACGGAGCCTGCTTCTCCCTCTGCCTGTGTCTCTGACTCTCTCTGTGCCTCTCATGAATAAATAAAATAAAATCTTTAAAAATAAATAAATAGGGATCCCTGGGTGGCGCAGCGGTTTGGCACCTGCCTTTGGCCCAGTGCAGAGACCCGGGATCCTGGAGACCCGGGATCGAATCCCACATCGGGCTCCCGGTGCATGGAGCCTGCTTCTCCTTCTGCCTGTGTCTCTGCCTCTCTCTCTCTCTCTCTCTCTCTCTCTCTCTCTCTCTCTGTGACTATCATAAATAAATAAAAATTAAAAAAATAAATAAATCTTAAAATTTTAAGTACTTGTTTTATTCTGCATTCAAGTCTCAGCCAGATTGAAGTCTGTGAAAAACACAATTTTGCTTTTTTGTAATTCTATCTGAGCAAGTTGGAAGTTCAATGAGCTTTCCAGCCAAACAAATTTCTGTATTTGAGTACCTATTTTAATTATTTCATTAGTGTATGACCTGTGGATTCTCCACCAATGCTGGGATAATAAAGTGTCAGGATTTCCGACCCCCCCAGGCTATAACCTAAAAAAAGAAAAAAAGAAGGCAGAAAGGAAAAGAGGTAGGAAGGAGGGAATGAGAGAAGCCAGAGGGAGAAAAGGCAAAAAGCTGCATGGAGGAAAAATCTGGAAAATTATACCTTAGACTGTTAACAGGAATAGGACGAAAAAAAAAAAAAAAACAGGAATAGGACGAGGGGTGATGCCCTCTATCTTGTATCACTTTATAACGTTAAAAAAAAACCCAAAAAACTAAAAACATATAAAATGAAACCAGTTTTTTAAATATTTAAAAAATATTTTGGTTAAGAAAAAGAACCCCAAAGCTTTTAGACAAGCCTGCTTGGGGGAGGCTGACTCTTGGGGCAGCCTTGCTCTGAAGCTCACAGCTGGAACCAGGCACAGCCCAGCTGCCCCAGGTGGGCCTGGCTGAACCCCTGAGCTGAGCATTGCAGGAAACAGCTGGACTGGCTACTCCAGGAAGCACACATCAGGTCTGCAGCTGGTGGGAGATGCCCCCCTAGCCCCAAGGAGGGGTGAGGAGTAGGCGCCTTAAAGGGGTAACCGGGAAAGGGAACCACAGAGACATGGCGGGGGGGGGGCAGATCCCAAAGAAAGAGATAGGTTTGGTCCTAGCCACACTGGGAGCCAGTGAAGGTTTCAGAGCAAAGACAACCATGGTGAGGTGGCTTAGAGAGTTAGTTTTGGCAATGAGTGGACCAGTCTCTGCTGGGTCCCAACTGAGGCCGTGAGTTTGTGGGGTTGAGGGCCCCTGCCTCCTTCCAAGTCCTACCTTCTTCTTCTTCTTCTTTTTTTTTAAGTTTTTATTTATTTACTCATGAGATACAGAGAGAGAGGCAGAGACACAAGCAGAGGGAGAAGCAGGCTCCTTGGAGGGAGCCCAATATGAGACTCAATCTCAGGACTCTGGGATCACACCCTGAGCCAAAGGCAAGCGCTCAACCACTGAGCCACCCAGGCGTCCCTAAGTGCTACCTTCTGATGCTAAATTGAACTGTCCCAGGATCCACCCCCAGCAACCAACCCCTCTCTTTTTTTTTCAAAGATTTTATTTACTCATGAGAGACACACAGAGAGGCATAAACATAGGCAGAAGGAGAAGCAACCAACCCCCCTCTTAATGGCATCTGCCTTTATGCCCACCAGTGAGCAGGCGAAGGGACCACAGTGTTCTGGGAGAAGGTTGACTTAGAAACCTCTGCCTGGACCCAGATTCCCAGAAGCCTTTGTGCGGGACTGGAAGTGCTGCCATATTCCTGTCTTCCCATTGCCATGTAGGGCCTTAGGCTCCCCGCATAAGGACTTTGCAAGGAGTCCCTGTCCCTCCAACTGTCCAACCACCTCCACTGTTACTGTACCTAGTTGGCCCCAGGCCTGGGCCCTGCAGCGTCCCATCGTCCTGTCCCCCCTCTGCTGCCCGAGGGCTGCGCCTTTGGCCTTCTCTCGCTGACACTCATGGCCTTTCCCCATCTGACCCCAAGCCGTCTCATCTCCCACTGCTCCCTCCTTCTGTGGCTTCACGGCTGACTAGAGCGAGGCTATAGGTCCCCCCTCCCTGTTCCCACCAGGCTTTTGTTCAGGCCATTCTTCCCACCTGACGTTCCCTCTCTCACCAATTGCACCTAACACAGCACATGACATGTGCTACCTGTTGCATGAACGTAAATGTGAGCAAGAACCAATGCACGGTGCCCCTGCGGCCTACCAACTCTGTGGCCCACCCTCCCAGCTGGCCCAGTGCCGGGGTAGAGCTCTTCCCCCGCCTCGTCCCTGCAGTCCCGGCAGCCTGCCCTCAACTCACACAGCGCCTTTGTCAGGCCTCTGCTCCCAAGGGCATCTTATCTGCCTCAACAGGTTGTAATCAGCCAGGGTCATGGACCCCCTTCCTCCTGCCAACCTGGAGCAAACAAACCCTTTGCCTAGAGCGTGGCGGCAGCCGCGTGGAGTCCGGGGCTCACCGGGGCCCTCCCCAGGCTGCAGCCCAGTGGCCTCGCCTCCTTTCCAGGCCAGGCCTCACAGGAAATGTCCCTGCCCTCAGCTCCCGGAGGCCCTAGAGCCAAACTCTGAGCACCCACCCCCTGCAGTCTCCCCTTGGTTGTGCTGCTCTGGCCTCCTGCAGTCCCCTGAAGCTGCTTCTGTGACAACGATATCATTCCTCCTCACACACACACACTTTTTCCTGCCAGGAGCATTTACCCCAAACTTCTACAGACTCCTCCTCACCCTTCAAGCCTCCGGAAGAATGTCACCTCGATAAAGGGCAGTGTCATTGTCCTGTAGTCCCGACCACCCGCCAGGCCCTGTCTGGGACAGAACTACCACGGGGCCCCTCCCTTTCCTGGAGTCTCCCTAGAACCTGGAGAGCAGTGTCTGGACCTGTCTCGCCCCTGAGGGAACCAGCACTCTGAGAGGTGAAGTGACTGGCCTGAGGTCACACTGGAAAAGCCAGGTGGGCTTGGTTCCGGGAACCCCACACACCTCTGGAGCTGCCAGGTCTCCACCCAAGCTGCAAAATGCATGACTCACTGCCTGGCTGAAATTGCCAGCTGTCCTGAGTGTGGGCTCCCAGGCTGGAGGACGTGGGCACTGTCCTGAGGAGGCTCACAGCAGGGCCGGACAAGGCCATGCTTGATCCGAGACACAGGAAACAGAAACAGAGCTTAGGTGCATTTATTCCTGTACAAATTATTACAAAACCAAGTCTGGGGTAGTCGCCGGCTCCCAGCCCCCACCCCAGTGTGCAAAGGCTTGCTGCTGGCCTCTTTCTTCTCCACCTGACCCCTCCTGCTCCACAGCCTCCTCCAGGAAGCCCTCTAGTCTTCCCTTCCAGGCTCTGGAAGAATAGGGGCAAGCCCACCCCACTGAGTTCCAACAATAAAGTGCCTGATCTAGAGTGAGGGGACAGAACCCAGGTGACACGGCTCCTGGCCCCCGAGAGCCTTCCTAGGCCCAGCTGAGGGGAGACCCTTGGATGATTCCAGCAGCGACAAAGGGGCTGTGAGAAACCCCAGTCTGGCTGGGATTCCCCCTTTCTCAGCCCCAGAGGCCACTCCAACAGGTGGAAAGCCTCACTGCTAGATGGCAGAAAAGGGAGCCTGGCTCTTTAAGAGCCAAACTAATGGCAGCTGAGTGGAGGGATTAAGAAAATAGCTAAAGGTTTATCCCTTTCCTATTAGATCCCCCCCAAACTCTGTGGGAGTTTGTGCAAAAATACCCTAAGTTTCCAGGAGGAAGGGGACTCCAGACCCCCAGGAGCTGAGCCCCCCAGCAAGGGTGGTGGCGGGAGGGGCCCAGTCTTACTGGAAGACAGACCCAAAGAGGTCAGTGGGGAAAGTGGGAGGGGGCCTCAGACTCCACATTAGAACCTGACACAGGCAGGAGGGCGACCAGAGAGGCGGCAAGGGTTTTGTCCAAAGCCACTCAGGGCAGAGCCAAGATCCAGATGGGGGCTCCCACCTCTAGTAGCCCCCTATAAGCCCACAAATGCCCTGGCCTAGCTTCCAGACAGCTCCCACTCCCATGCAAACCCTCTTTCTGGCTCAGGGTTCCCAGCTCTTCAGGACAGGACCCTACTGTCCCAGCCAATAAGGGAGTGATTGGGGGTCCATCCTGGGGCACTGAACCAAGGCCTCATGGGAAAGCACATGTCCTTAGCCTCAGATAACTTCAGATATACCCTGATAGACTATGCTCAGACCCTGACTGGACTAGAAATACCTCCAACACCCCTGATTAACCACATAGCTCAAATCCCTGATTGGTCAAGAGACACCCCCAGGCCCTGGCTGGAGGATACGAGGCCCTGATTGGCCAAAAGACACTCCAGCCAGCCCTGATTGGCCAAGAGATGGCCCTGGGTTGAGTGGCTGGAAGGAGAGAGGACTCTCCTGTGTCCCCTGTGAGAGGTCCACAGGCAGGGTAGCCTAGGTCCAGGAGGGGTGGGAGAAGGTGATTCCATACAGCTGGGCCCAGGATGAGAAGACCCTCTTCTCGGTGATGAAGCGGTGGTGGTTGCCTTTGCGGCTGTGCTCATTCTGGATGTAGGTGACACACTCATCTGGCCCCTTGGGTTCATAGTAGTGGTAGGGCATGCGCTGCAGACGGGGCCGCTGGCTGGGGCAGAGCAGATGGGGGCTGTCAGGGCAGGGCAGGCACCAGCAGGGCCCTTATGCTTTCCAGCACCTGACTTACTAGAGGATTTCAGTGGGGGAAATCCTTGCCTCCCCCAGGGCCTCAGTTTCCCCATCTGTAAAATGGGTGTAGAGCGGACTAGGTTTATGACCACTCGGCTTTTTTTTTTTATTTTTATTAATATGATCGAAACTTTTCTTTTCCTTAAGAGGGTGGTGATGTAGGGGTAGTGGTAAGAAGGGCGGGCTCTGGAGCCTGGCCCCAGTGCTTACTGTTTGTGGGACCTTAGGCTACTCACAAAATGTTTTCTTCAGTTTTTCTCATCTATGGAACAGAAATAATAAGGTAACTAGCCATTAGGGTCACTGTGAGGAGTAAATGACATCACAAATGTAGCGAGGCTTGGAACATGGTCAGCACTCGGTAAAGAAAAGCTGTCACCTAGCAGACTTTTCATATAATAATAATAATAGTTATTAATATATGAATTCTGGACTCTGGCTGAGTTGAGGGGAGGAGCCCCAAGAAGCCTAGATCTCTGCAGAGCAATTCGAATACCACAGAGGCCCTCAGAGGCACCCCCAGCCGAAGTTTCTGGGCCCTATCCGGGGCTCACCTGCAGTAGTCAGGGGGGACCATGCCGTAGACGTGCACATGGTCACACAGCTCCACTGCAATCACCATGGTGAACCAGCCGGTGCTCAACCACGAATGAGACTTTTCCCTGGGGGCAGAGAGGGAGCACAATGAGGGGGCACACACATGGGAAGGTCAACCCACCTGGAGTTTCCCGAAACTCCTCCCACCCCCACCCCCCCTGGGGCCCTCCCCCAACTTCAGTGACCCCCTTGCTCAAGCCCCACTGTGGGAACATGGGCATGCTGGCAGAGGACTTGTCTGGGCAGAGACGAAGGGTGTGGAGAGAGTGCCTTTGAAGGAACAGGGCATGCTGGGAATCAACTGGAGAGATTAGTCAGAGTAGGGCAGGTCACAAGTGACCATGAGCTCACTAGACTTGTGGTCTTGCTTGATGGAGCTTGCTAAGAACAGCCATGCCCACACTAGGAGCAGACTAATGGGAGACTAATCAGAGAAGGTCATGCGGTGACCACAGGTTCAGAGCAAGGCATGGAAAGTAACCAAGGACCTAGAGCTGAGCTGCCCACTACAGCAGCCAGTAGCATGACATGTGGTTGAAATGTGCCATTAGTGTAAAATATGCATGGGATTTTTTAGTATGAAAGAACAAACATAGAAAATGTCACTGGTAGTTTTTGATTATATGTTAAACTGAAAATAGTTTGGATATATTTGATTGAAGGTGGTTCTTGGGGAAGTTTTTGTTTTTGTTTTGGTTTTGGTTCTTGGGGAAGTTTAAGAAGAAAATGAACCTCTCACAAGACTGACAAAGAAAAAGAGAGAAAAGACAGAAGTTAACCACTATCAATAATAAAACAGAGATTATATATCACAGAGCCTGTAGACATGAGAAGGGCAATAAGCAAACCACAAACAATTACATACATAAAATCCTCAACTTAGATTGAAAATCAGAAACTAGGGGTGCCTGGGTGGCTCAGCTGGTTGAGCATCTGCTTTCTGCTCAGGTCATGATTCCAGAGTCCTGGGATCTAGCCCCACATCGGGCTCCCTACTCTGCAGAGAGCCTGCTTCTCCCTCTCCCACTGCTGCTGCTCCCTCTGCTTGTGCATGTGCGCTCTCTCTCTCTCTGTCAAATAAATAAATAAAATCTTTGGGATCCCTGGGTGGCGCAGCGGTTTGGCGCCTGCCTTTGGCCCAGGGCGCGATCCTGGAGACCCGGGATCGAATCCCACGTCGGGCTCCCGGTGCATGGAGCCTGCTTCTCCCTCTGCCTGTGTCTCTGCCTCTCTCTCTCTCAATGTGTGACTATCATAAATAAAATAAAAATTAAAAAAAAAATACTTGCTACCAATGTTTAAAAAATAAATAAATAAATCAATCAATAAATAAATAAAATCTCTTAAAAAAAAAAAAAAAAGAAAATCAGAAACTACCAAAACTCAGTCAAGGTGAAACAGATGAACCTGAGTGTGTGTGACTATTAAGAAATTGAATTCATCATTCAAAACCTTCAAACCTTAGCGCCTGCCTTTGGCCCAGGGTGCGATCCTGTAGTCCCAAGATCGAGTCCCACGTCAGGCTTCTGGCGTGGAGCCTGCTTCTCCCTCCTCCTGTGTCTCTGCCTCTCTCTCTCTCTCTCTCTCTCTCATAAATAAATAAATAAATACTAAAAAAAAAAGCCTTAAAAAAAAAAACCTTCAAAAAAGAGGGACACCTGGGTGGCTCAGTGGTTGAGCGTCTGCCTCTGGTTCAGAGCATGATCCTGAGATCCGGGATCAGGATTGAATCCCACAACCGGCTCCCTGAAGGGAGCCTGCTTCTCCCTCTGCCTATGTCTCGGTCTTTATCTGTGTCTCTTATGAATAAATAAATAAATCTTTAAAAAAGCAGAAAATCTTCAAAAAGAACTCTCCAGGTCCGGATAGTGTCATTGACAAATTCTACCAAACATTTGAAGAAGAAATAACACCAATTCTACACATTTTCTGAGGCCAGCATTACCCATAATATCAAAAACCATGCAAAGACAGTACAAAAACAAAACAAAACTACACATTGGTATGTCTCCTGAGTACAGACACAAAAATCTCAACAAAATATTAGCATGTTGGGATGCCTGAGTGGCTCAGTGGTTGAGCGTCTGCCTCTGGCTCAGGGTGTGATCTGAGAATCTGGGATCAAGTCTCACATCGGACTACTTGCAAGGGCTCCCTCTGCCTATGTCTTTGCCTCTCTCTGTGTGTCTCTCATGAATAAATAAAATCTTAAAAAAATATATTAGCATGTTATATCCAGCACTATATAAAAATAATACACTACAACCAAGTGAAATTTATTCCAGAAATGCAAGTCTGATTCGATATTCAAAAATCAATCAATATTCAAAAATGTATATGGTGGTATAATCCACCATACTAATAGCCTTAAGAAAAACCACATGAGGGATCCCTGGGTGGCGCAGCGGTTTGGCGCCTGCCTTTGGCCCAGGGCGTGATCCTGGAGACCCGGGATCGAATCCCACGTCGGGCTCCCGGTGCATGGAGCCTGCTTCTCCCTCTGCCTGTGTGTCTGCCTCTCTCTCTCTCACTGTGTGTCTATCATAAATAAATAAGAAAAAAAAAAAAAAAGAAAAACCACATGATCATATCAATTGATGCAGAAAAACACTCGATAAAATTCAATATCCAAAAAAAACAAAAATAAAAAATAAAATAAAATTCAATATCCAATAATGATGAAAACTCTTAGCAAATTAGAGAAGGGAACTTCTTCAGTTTGGTAAAGGATAACTAAACACTCTACAGCTAACGTCATATTCAATGACGAAAGACCAAATGCTTTCCCAAGATGGCGACCAAGGCAAGGATGTCTACTCTCATCATCCCCCGTATAATTTGACCTTGTATCAAAGTCCTAGCCAGTGCAAAGGCAAGAAAAAGAAATAAGATGCATACAGATTAGAAAGGAAGAAATAAAGGTGTTCTGAATTACATGTCCTTACAACATGATTACGTGCATAGAAAACCCAATGAACCTAGAAAAATCTCCCAGAACCAATATGTAAGTTTAGCAGGATTATAGGATATAAGGCCAACACACAAAAAAATCAATTGTATTCCTATATACTAGCAATAAATAAATGGAAACTCCCTAAAATTTTAAATAAAATTTATAATAGCTCCCTCAAATCTTAAATATTTAGGGATTAATCAAACCGAAAAAAATACAGGGTATAGATATTGAGTGTTTTGGGTTAAATAAAATATATTCAAATCAATTTCACCTGTTTCCTTTTACTTTTTTAATTTGGCTACTATAAAAATTTAAATTACATACATGGCTTGCATTATATTTCTATTGGATAGCACTGGCCTAGCTCTTCTGGGGGGATCAGCCAGAAAAGGACATGCTGGGAAAGATGTACCCTTAGGATAGAGCATGCTGGGAGCAACTGTGTGCCTCAAGCAAGACATGCTGGGTACAGTGAATACCTGCCGTGAGCGACAGGGAGTTCTCCTAGAAAGATTCTAGGAGTGAGTATGCCGCCTTAGAGCAGAGCATGCTAAGAGTCCTGTTTCCTCAGACCAATGCATGCTGGGAGGAAGCCCTCCTGGGGAGATGAGACCGTGCAGAGCATGCTGGAAGTGACCCAGGCTAGGGACTAGATGTGAAGAAGATTCTCCTGGAAAATCTGACCAGAGGGTAGCAGGAAGTGACCACAGCCTCAGAGGAGTGCATGCTGGAAGCCAAAGGCCTGGTAGGCAGAGAATGCTTAGGGGGAGCACAGGGCTGGCTAGAGGGGGCAGGCAGGAAGCTGGTACCTGTCCTTGCCCGTCTCACCCCGGAAGAGGTCGTCAAATTGGCGCATGCGGCCGGGAGAGACGGCATAGGCCTCCATGTTGGGGAACACCAGGCCTGCCCGCTGGATGACGCGCACAAGGCTGCCCTGGGGCTTCTGCATCTTGTTTGGGGGGCCCCAAAAGATAAACACGGTTTCGGGGGTCCGGTTGACGAACTCCTGGGGCCTCCGCAGCACACGGAATACGCTGGAATGGGCTACCACACGGAAGGTGGTCTTGTTGCCTACATCGGCTGAGTAGCCCGTGGTGGGCGCATCATTCATGCGGATTGTGCACTCGGCTCGCTCAATCTCGGGACCCAGCTTGGTTCCCAGCAGGTGGCTAGAGCTGGTGACAATCACACACTGGTGGCACCGGGATGGCAGCGTCTGTGGGGGGCAAGGAAAGTCAACACTGTCATGACCACTCAGTGCCAGGCCCTATGCCCTGTACATCCAGGCATCTGGGAGGCAGGAATTATTTTACCCATTTTATTTTATTCATATTTATTTACCTGTTTGTATATTTAGAGATTGTGTGTCGGGAGGTGCAGAGGGGGAAGGAGAAGCAGGTTCCCTACTGAGCAGGGAGCCAGATGCAGGGCTCGATCCCAGGGCCCTGAGATCATGACCTGAGCTGAAAGCAGACACTTCACTGACTGAGCCACCCAGGTGCCCCTATTTTGCCCATTTTAAAGACAAGGAAACTAAAGGCTCCTCACTCAACATTCAACAAATATTACATCAAGCTAGCTAATGGCCAAATGCCAGGGACAGAGCAATGAATAAAAGAGACCCCATTCCTACCTTCAAGAAGCTCACAGTCAGAGAGTCAGGGAACAAGTAAAAGACAAAATGACACCAGGTGGTGAGTAAAACATGTTACGAAGATAATACAGTAGGGGCAAGGGATCAAGAGATACAGGAGTAGGGGCTACTCTAGAAAGATCATCTGGGGGATGGGGGGCTCTCGGAGTGGAGACCTGGAGGATGAAAAGGAACCACATAGGAAAGTACGCAAGGCAGGAGGAACAGCAAGACCAGAGGTTCTGAAGTGGGAATGACCATGGTATGTTGAGAAGCAAAAGGCTGCTTGGCTGGGGCAGAGTGAAGGAACAGGAGGACAAGACAGTCATGCAGGGATGTCCCCAAAGGCACACAGCAGAGGAGTGGAACGTTTGGGTAGGAACCCAACTCTGTGTGGCCCCAGCGCCCCAGCCTTAGTCCAGTTCCCATAGGAGGGAATCCTGCCCAGGGCACCCATGACATTTCCACAACACCCACCAACAAGACACCACCTTGTCAGTTAGGAAAGGGTGGAAGCCCCTCTGGGCCTGTTTCCCCACTGCTGAATGAGTCGGAACCATGAGTTCTCTGGGACCTATCTTCTACCCATGGAATTCCTGTTTACCCGTTAAGCCTAAATTCAGGTGCTACCTCCTCCAGGCAGTCTTCCCTGAGCCCTTACTCCAAGATCCAACAATTGGTCCCATGGACCTCAGCTGACGGCTTTTGCAGGTTCCCGAGCTCTACTGGCTTCCCCTGTCAGGCTGGAGGTAGCTACAAGCTCAGCACTGCCTCACCCGCACTCAAGCCCTTCTACTTTCTCCTAGGTTCTGTTATTTTTATTTCAAGGGCATTACGATCTCAGTTAGATGTTGATCCGTCTCTAAATACCTGCTAAGGGGCCCTTTCGCAGTAAGGGTGTATTCAGAGCCCCAGGCACCAAGTGTACAGAGATCCTGATAGATTTAGGAGGATTTGTGAGGGAAGAGAGGGAGGCAGGCAGGGATCTGGAGACCTCCTCCTCCTGGAAGGTGGAGTCCATATTCCAGGCCAATGATTATCTCCCTGGCCTCTCAGAAAACATTTACGGCTTAGAGGATTATAGAGGGAACCCCAGAAATACAGCCTGAGTTGCATGGCTACCCAAGGCAAACAAAAGCCCTGGGAATGACCTTTGGCTTCTCTATACAGCTGCAACTCCAAAGGGATTTGGGGCTCTGCCCCTCCCTTGCCGTGTGGCCTTGGACAAGTGACTTTACCTCTTTGACTCTTGGTTTCCCCATCTCTTCAAGGAGGATAACAATGCTGACCTCACAGCCTCTGTAGGTGTGATGATTACTGCTAATCACAGTGCCTGGCACACAGCAGGCAATTGACAAAGGACAACCATTATTATGACTGTTTTGTGTTGTCAAGTACTCCAGTGTTCTGCTCCCAAACCCTGTATGGACACCCCTGCAGAGACAGAGATCAGTGAAAGCCAGCAATACCTCTCCTTAGGGATTCAGACTCCGAAAGCAGTAGGATATCAATGTTAAAATGGGACCTTGCAGAAAGTGGAGGCCCAGAGACAGACAGGGCACCTGTCTGAGATCACACAGCAAACCAGGGGCTGATGGCACTGGAAGCCAAGGCCTTGACTCCTGGGGTCCCCCCTTTCCTTTAGGAAGAATGGAAATAGCAGAGAGAAGAGGTGGAGGAGTGGGAACAGAGATGGTGGGTAGCAGGGAAGACCAATCATCAGCTTGGTCTCAGAGAGTTCCCCAAAGTGGTCACGCTACCTTGTTGCCAAGAATTGGGACATACGCGTCCGTGATGCTCCACTTCTTGAGGTTGACGGGCCTGCGGGTGCGGCCCCGCAGGGAGCCGTAATGGAAGACCTCATTGGCACTGTTGGAGCTGTAGAGGATGAGGATGGTGATGAGGGCGAAGAGGACCACGAACACTGCTGACCGCTGCTCCTGGAGAGGGGAGGGGCCGATGAGTGCCCAGCCACCCCCCAGGCCCCTGCCTCGTCCTTGCCACCTACAATGCCTGGCTAACTCCTGCTCTTCACTCCAGACCAGTTGAGGCACCACCTCCTCCAGGCCCCTGAGCACCCCCATCACAGCACTGGTCACACTGTGGTCTCCCACCCCCTCCCCACCAGTCAGACCATGAGCTCTGTGGGCTGGGACTGAGCCTCGTTGGCCACCTTATCCCACCTCCCAGAACACAGAAGCACAGAAGGTTCTTGGGGAGGGTTCGCTGGATTGGATTGGATGTGTCAGAGGGATACCTCAGCTGCAGCTGGAAGGATGCTTAGAGACAGGTGAGGCATTCAAAGGAGAGGGCCCAAGGTCTTCCCCAAACAGGAACTCTCTGTAATGTTTATCATTCATGAAGCCTGGAGGGGATTATTCTGGTCAGGAATTGGAATGTGTGGACAGCCAGTGCCCCCATCATGTCAATGACAGTGTAGGAAAGTAATCCCCAAAGTATCCACTGGGACTTATCTGCCCAGGGTCCACATGGTGAGACAAGATCTGCAAGTCCTGGCTCTTTGCGCTAAGCCCTCTGTGCTGGTTACTCATGTATCTCTCCTCAGTTCCAAGTTCATCCTTTTTGCCTGCTCTGTGAAATGGACCTGGGCCCTAGTGTCATTTTGCCAATTAATTGCAGATTGAGCTTTGTCAGGAAAGGATGCTGGAGAGGCAGTGCGAGACAAAAGGAGTTTGCTTCCTGCTTCTAGTTGGACTTGACACCTGGTCTGTGCCCTTGCCCTTCCACAGCACACGGCTTCCAGAGCACATGCTCCATCCCCAGCACCCAGTGGCCAGCAGCCAGAAGCACTCAGCTGCGCTTGCTTGGGCACCTGGCTTCAGGCAGTTTGGGAGCAGAGTGCCTCTGGCTCCTGCTAGGAACACAGCTTCTCCAGAGTTCAGTTCATGCAGTACACTCAACTACCAGAGGCCAGAGCTCTGTCCCTGGAGCAGTTTTGTACAGGCTCAGAGGGCCTCTTCAGAGTGGCAGCCTTCCTCGTAGCTCAGAAGTGTTTTTTTTTATATATATTTTAAAATTTTATTTATGATAGTCACACACAGAGAGAGAGAGAGAGAGGAGAGGCAGAGACACAGGCAGAGGGAGAAGCAGGCTCCATGCACCAGGAGCCCGACGTGGGATTCGATCCCGGGTCTCCAGGATCGCGCCCTGGGCCAAAGGCAGGCGCCAAACCGCTGCGCCACCCAGGGATCCCTGCTCAGAAGTGTTTTTATGACAACTTCTACCAGCCCAGCAAGGTCTCGGGTAAGGTCTCTGTCATCCAGTGGGCCAGAGCTGTGCCCTCTCCAGCAAGGCCTGGGCCTCAGGCCCGCAGGTGGTGGCTACTCCTTCTCCTGGCTAGTCTTGTATTCCTAAGAGTTCCAATCCCTCATTACTCGATGCCTGGCTGTAGCTAATAGTTCTTTACACTAAACTTTCCTGGTTCAAATTACTGTGTGCTTTCTGTCTCCCAGTCTGACCCAGATTGGTATGTCCACACTACACTACCCCTGACCCTCAAGCTGTGCCAAGGCTGCCCCGCATTGGATCCCAGGAAGGGGTCCACAGGGCCAGGAACATAGTAGTGAATGAATGGATTGCTGTGACACCCTCAGAGTGATGCTCCCAACATCCTGTCATCTTTGACTCTGACCACTGCCTGCTCACCCCACCCCACCCCCACCCTGCACAACACTTCACAGTCACCTTCTCGGCCAATTCTGGACCACAGATGGACCAGTTAACCTAGGAGGACAGAGGAGGACCTAGCCCAGAATGAGAAAGGAGCTTGATCCCAAAGCTACAGGGATCAGTGGCCACAGCAGAGCTCAAGCCTCTCAGGCATCAGCCACTTCTTGGTAGGGAAGAGACACTGGTAGTGGCCTAAGGAGGCAGGCCCAAAGGAGCCCACTTCACTGAGAAAGTAAAAAGCTGAGATAAGGACAAGAAATGAGGGGGGCTTACTTTGTTGCTACTCATCTCTCTCCGGCGTCTGCTGAGGGGCAGGGGCCAGCGTCCTGTAGGTGGCCCAGGGGGCAGGGATGTGGGGTCACACCTGCAAGCCACAGAAAAGGTTATGGCTTGAGTCCTCTCCCCTAGAACAGCTAGTCAAAGGCTACACCCTCCCCACCCTACCAGCCCTCTTACCCACACAAGACTTCAAGGCTCAAGGCCATATCCGTTTTGCAGAGGGAGACACTGAGGCCCAGAAAGGGCAGCAACCTGCTTGAGGTCACACAGCCAGGTGGTGGCAGAGCCCTGCCTCTCTCTTGGTCCCTTGCTCTCTCCCACTCTGCTCCCCGAACAGGGACCTCCCCACACCTTAGCTCTTCTAGGCAGCCAACTGGTCTGAGGCTGGCTCCCCAACCCAGCAAGAGCCCCATGCACACTCCTACCCCAAACTCTGATGTAGGTCCCTGTGGTCTTGGAATAAGGCAATATTCCTTACAGGTCCCCAAAGTTCTCTGCAAAGCACCCTTCCAGATCTTGCATTAAATGTCCCCTCTATCTAGAACACGTCCCTTCTATCTAGAACACCCTGCCCTCCTGCACCCTGCTCACGCTCTCTCATCCTCCAAGCCTGGGGGAGGCCAACAACTTCTATGTGTCACCTCCCCACTAGCCTGAGAGCGGCTGAGAGCTCCCTGAGGGTGGGGCCGGCACAGATCCTCACTCACCATCTCCGCTGTGAAGCCTCAGAGATGGGTGCAGGAGGTTCGCTTAATGACTTCGTTAATTAACAATAAGATCTCGGGGTTAAGGGCACAGACTCACCAATGGGCAATAATCACAGTCCCACCCTCGGAGCGGGGGTGGGGGGGTGGGGGGTGGAGGACCTCCCGTAACGAGGCAGCCTTGGACAATCCTTCCTGCCTGCCCATCTGCCCTTAGCGGCCGCGGCTGCGAGGGGACATCTTCACAGGCCCTAGCTCCCCTCCAGACCTCAATCTCCCCACCTGTCCAGAGGGAGGGAGTACTTGCATTCCAGCCACCTCCAGTAGATTCGAGGCCACTGGGAGAGTGTGCGGATGGAGAAACAGGGGCCCAGGGCTCCCCAGCTCCGTCCTTCCCTCCAGGGGCCTCCCAGCTCCGCCACTGTCCCCGCTCCCTGACCTGGCCGCTGTTTACTCCTACACCGCCACCACGAAGAGCCACAGAACCTCAGGCCGAAGGAGGCTCCTCGCATGCCGCTCCTGATTGGCTGGGCCCCGACTCCGCCCACCGCACAACCCCGCCCCTTCTCCGGGTGAGGCCCCCTCCTCCCAGGCCGGGTCTCTGTTTCCTCCCAGACTGAGGGCCAGGACCCGAGGGCCAGTCCCGGGGGAGCTCTCGCTGGGTCCAGTGCCCACCATACAGACCAGGAAACTGAGGCCCATTAGGAGAGGAAACAATTTGTCTTCGGACTCACAGCCCCCGCTGGGGCGCAAGACGGGAGTCCAGAATCCCAGCGTCCCGCCCATCAGCACTGATCCTCTGGCAGTCTGGGCCCTCACCGTCCAGCTACCTCTGAGTGGAGCCTCTCCTCTCACTACCCTTTCCTTCGGATGCCCCACGCCCCAGACACACCAGGGCACTCCAGTTCCCTGGCCCACCCCCTCCCTACCTTCCCACCTTCGCCTGATGAGTGCCCTCAGCCAGGACCACGGACCCTCTGGTCAGCCCCATCACAATCCAGCTCTGAGAAGGCCACGGTCATACAGCATCTCAGGTGCCAGTGTGAATCCCGGTTCCACCACTTACTGGCTGAGGGGCCTGGAGCAAGCCATGTGACCTCTATGAGCCTCAGTTTCCTCATCTCTGAAATGGGAATAATAAGAGTAGGTAACTTATGGGGTTGTTGAAAGGATTCCAGCAGATGTGGCAAGGGAAGTAGGGGGCTTGAAAGTGATCGGTCAGTGCCTGTTAGCCTTGCGGTTATTCATTGTTGGAGGCCTGCCTCACCTTGAGCTTGCCAGAACACTGCCCCTTCTCAGATACCTCGCCTAGCCACTTCCTCTAATACCAAGGAAGATGTGCTTCCTCTAATGTGCAGGGAGCCACATTAGGTACCACCCACTCACCCCATCCTCCCGGCAACCCTGCAAGGGAAGGGCTCTTATTCCCCATTTCACAGATAAGGAGACTGAGGTACAGAGAGGCAGAGCTGCCCAGAGTCAGCCGGGGAGCCTTGTTTGCAGGCTTGTTTGCAGGGAGCAGTCCAGGGCTGAGCCTGCCCGGGATCTCCCTCAGGGATCTCCCCGGGTGGAATCAGCCAGAGGCCACCAAGTGTGCGCTCAGCACCTGGCCTAGCACCAGGGAGCAGGCCTGCTGGGGAGTGACTTGCTCGTGCTGGGGAGGCGGCGGCATCCAGCGCTGGGCCAGGAGCGTGGCCTCGGCCCCGGGACTGGCGGGGCAGGAGGGCTCAGTCCGTGGCTGTGTGGGGGGGGACACACCCTGCCCCCTGTATGGGGGCTTTGCCCCTCTCCGCGGGGGAGTCCTCCTGCAGGGTCGAGACGCCCCCACGAGCCGCGTGGGAGGAGGGCTTGGGGAGAAGGGGGAAGGAGCCTCCTGATGTCTAGATGGGGGGTCGCTGAGCCCTTAGGTCCACTGGTGGGGAGCGACTCACCCTCTACGCCCCCTCTCGCACTGACCTGCCCCCCCCGCCCCAATTCCCGCACTCCGGGCGGTCCGGAGCCTAGCCCCTGCTGGGGAGAGGAGGGAGGCAGGACGGCGGCAGGTCCCCGAGCCCTAATGGAGTAGTCAGCGGCGGGGGCCCCGCGATCCCCGCGACAGCCCTTGGGCGCGAGGACCGGGATGTCCAGGCGCGGCCGCCGAGGGAGAGTGGGTCTGGGGGGGGGGCCCGGGGCTGCACATCTCCCCCCGGCCCGGGGTCCCGACCCCCTCCCCCGGGCGCACGCAGCGCCCCCCTCCCGCTGCCCGCCCCCGCGCGCCGCCGCTCACCTCCCCCGGGGAGCGCCCGGCCCCCGCGGCCCCCGAGCCCCCTCACATGGCTCCGGGAGCCGGGAGCCGAGAGCCGGGGTCCGCGCCGCTCCGGCTGCCCAGGCCCCGCCGCAGCCCCCGCCCGCCGGGTCCTAGCGCCGCCGCCGCCGCCGCTCCGGCCCAGGCCAGGGAGGCGGGCGGAGCCTGGAGGGGCCGCGGGTGGCTCCGCCCAGGGGCGGCGCCGGCGGGGACGGGTGGGGGGCGGGCGACCCCGCGCCCGGGCCGCGCCGGCGCCTCGCTTGCTCCTTCGGGCAGCCGGTAGTGGCGATGAAAAAAAAAATTACAACAGCCTACTGGAGCCCTTCAGTGTGAGTGGGGCCTGTCTTATCTCGCTTTATTGCCGCCACGGCCCGGATGAGGAAACCGAGTCCCAGGGCACACTGAGCTCGAGATCAGTTGAGTTTCATCCAGAGCTCCCCTACCCCGGGCCCCCAGAGCCCTGAATCCATCCACTAGTCGCAGGGAGTGAACCCAGGGGTCCTCCCTTGGATTCAAGTCCAGCTGTGCCACTTACTAGCTGTTGGGGCTTGGCACATTACTCACCCTTCCTCTGCTCTGGAAAATAGGCAGAACAGGCTCATAGGGTGTTGTCAGGGTTAAAAATGTTATGTTACTTCTTGGAGTTATCGGGGTATTCATGACATGGGTTTTATGTGATAGTAGCCACGATAGGGGCCTGGTTAAATAAACAAAAGCACAGCCCAGCTAAAATGAAGGATGCAAGTCAATAGGCACCTGACAGGAAGAAATGTCCAGGATATTTACAAGCTACTTAAGAAAGCAAATGAAAGAAGTTAATCATTCTGGAAAAGGAAATTGTAAAAACTTGCTTTCCACTCCTGGATATGTACTCCGGAGAAACTCTTGCACATGCACAAGACAAAGTTCAGAGTAGCTTTGAAATAACACAAAACCGGAAACAGCCTATACATCCATCAGCAGGAAAATTGATGTTTCCTTTGCAGTATGCCATGGTGGAGTATTATATAGCAGGGAAAAATGAATGAGCTACGTGACATGGATGGATTGTAGAGACATGCACAGTGAAAAAGACAAATCCCAGAAGACCAAATAAAACTACACACTATATTGTTTAAGCAAACAGCTGTCAGCAGGGACACCTCTCACAGCCAGGGACAGACTGAGCTTTTGCCTATCAGAATGATTAAAGTTTTAAACAAGCAAAAGTCAAGAACACAGCTGTCTTCGTCAGGGAGGCAGGGATGCAGGGGAGCGGAGGGAGGAAATACAGAAGCATGCAGTCCTCCTACCCTCTGGTCTTCCACTGGGACCGGGATTCAAGAGGTTTGTTACATTACTATGTTTTATAACTTAAACAATTGGTTTTTTTTAATATTTAATTTATTTATTCATGAGAGACAGAGAGAGGCAAAGACACAGGCAGAGGGAGAAGCAGGCTCCATTCAGGGACCCCGATATGGGACTAGATCCTAGGACTCCAGGACCACGACCTGAGCCAAAGGCAGATGCGCTTAACCGCTGAGCCACCCAGGCGTCCCACATTACTACATTTTATAACTTATGAGTATGATGCATGCCATCATTTGTATGCATCACGGTGTTCAAAGAAAAAAGAAAGAGGAGATAAATGAAAATATGGAGATACTCTTTGCCTAACGAGTGATTAAAGTGTTAAGAGTGGGGATCCCTGAGTGGCGCAGCGGTTTAGTGCCTGCCTTTGGCCCAGGGCGCGATCCTGGAGACCCAGGATCGAATCCCACGTCGGGCTCCCGGTGCATGGAGCCTGCTTCTCCCTCTGCCTGTGTCTCTGCCTCTCTCTCTCTCTCTCTGTGTGTGACTATCATAAATAAATAAATAAAATTTTAAAAAAAAGTGTTAAGAGTGGTTATTTCTGGAATGATGAGATTATGGGCTGCTTTTGTTTTGGGGGGTTTTTTTGGAGGGGAAGCTTAACTGGATTTTCCAGAAATTTTTAAAATCATGGTTACACAATGTTTTCATATTTAAAAACTGAGTATTTAACTTATAAAAAAACCTGAACTGCCTATATAACATGGTTCCTTTTAAAAAATACAACTACCAGGATCCCTGGGTGGCGCAGCGGTTTAGCACCTGCCTTTGGCCCAGGGCGCGAGCCTGGAGACCCGGGATCGAATCCCATGTCAGGCTCCCGGTGCATGGAGCCTGCTTCTCCCTCTGCCTGTGTCTCTGCCACTCTCTGTGTGTGTGTGTGTGTGTGTGTGTGTGTGTGTGTGACTATCATAAATAAATAAAAATTTAAAAAAATACAACTACCTATGCCTATGTATTTGAAAATGTACACCAAAGTTCTGGAAGAATCCATACTGGACTGCAGTCAGTAGTTGCCCCTGAAGAGTGGATGTGGCACAGAAGGGGTGGGTGCTGCCTTCATTTTTTGCTTTCTTAAGTTCCAGATTGTTTACTTTGGACACATTTGTTAAGTTCATACCACTTTGTTTTCAATTAAAACAAAAGTGGGGTGAGGACAGGCCCAAGTCCATCTTCTAGGCTGTGGAGACACACCACCCACTGGACAGTAGGGCTCAGCAGAGAGAGCCAAAGGTGGATTGGAGGCTACTGCAGCTGTTGCTGCTGTTGCTGCTGTTTCTTCTCCTTCTCCTTCTTCTTTTCTTCTTCTCCTTCTCCACCTCCTCCTCCTCCTCTTTCTTCTTTTAATTTTTATTTGCGATTTATTCTTTGCAGAATTTACTCTGGGGCCATAAGTTTTTGTTTCTTGCCCCCATGCTGTCCACCTCCGTCTGCTTTCTGAGTCCCACCCCACTCCAGCTACTGGACCTCCCCCTGCCAGCCACAGGACAGCAAACCACTGGGCAAGGAACGAGGCAGTGAGGTGGGAAGCCGGATGTTGGAGGGTTCAAAGAAGAGGAGCCCCTTGCCTGAAGTCACCCTGCAGGTTGGAGGCTCTACAGGGGGCAGGGGCGTCTTGTCCCCAGCTCTTTGTCCTGCCCCAGGCCAAGGACAGGGACTCCAGAAATCAAATTGCAATAACCCAGCTCCTGGACCAAATCTGGACCTGGAGCTCCCCCCTCAGGCCTGCCTTGTCTCCAGGCACAGGCTTACTCCAGAGGCTCCACTTTAGGGCCAGCTTCCCTTTCCTGGGCCCCAAGAATAAGAACAAGCCTTTCAATAATAACAAGGATAAGAAAAATAGACCCTCATGTAGCAGGGCTTTCTCTCATGCTAAGTAAGCACTCTGCAGACATACCTCACAGAATCCTTAAAATAACCTATGAGATGGACACTCTGCTCCAGAGGGAGAAAGTGAGGCTTGGGGTGTGTGCAGTTGCCTAGGCCGGGATTTCCCACCTGTCTGCTGAGTAACCATAAGCCGTTCTGCCCTGAAGCCCCAGGCCTGCCTACGCCCACAGCAGGGCTTTCATGGATGGGTGGCCATGCCAATCCCCATGCTACACTCCAGTCCTGCCCGGAGCTGGTCCTCCCCACAGGGCTGCCCTTCCATGGTCTGGCACAAGTGACCTCTGCTTCAGGCCTTCCTCCTGTCCCAGAGTGGGGGTCCTGAGTGTGAACACCCTCCTTTCTTACCACTTAGCAATATTTGCCCTAAAAAGAGCCCACAGGGGCCTCCTCACCCACCACCCCAGCTCCCAATTTTCATGGACTGAAACCAAGCCCTTTGAGGGGTCAAGACCCGTCCAAGTCTCCCTGCTGACTCCTCAGGCAGAGCCAGTGTGGGAGCCAAGTCTAGAAACTGCAGCTTCTCTCTGTCTCTGGATAGAGAAGGAGCCCAATGGAAGGGCATTTGGAAGAGAGGCTAGCAAGAGGCTCCAGCAGGTGTGGGCCTGCACACAGGAGCTCTCCATAAGCTTGTGTTCCCAAGACCTGGGCAGTGAGTCTGGAACCAGGAAGTAGCTGGTTCTTCACAAACAGGCTGGAGTGCTCAGGTGGGCCCAGGTGACACTGGACACAAGAACCCAGTGGTACACGGAAGAACCAGTATTCCTTTCCTCAGCCGGCTAGATGAGGTTTGAGTGTGAGTTCCTGGCCTGGCCCCAAGTTCCTTCTGAAAAAAGGCCCCTTAAGAACCTCTAGGCTGAGAGGTTCATCTGGTGTCTCCTTAGGAGGAAGTAGATGAGTCCCCACCAGGCCTGTGGGGACAAAGGAGCAGGGCTGTGGACAGGAAAGAAGAGCCCCAAAGAAGGTCTGCACAGCTTGGTGCCCCCACCCCCACCCCACTTCTTGGAGTTGAGAGGGAGCTCCTGCCCCCAACTCACCTCCTGGAAGCTGCTGGAACTCCAGTGGGAGAGAGCCTTCAGCAGGCCCTGAACCAGTCACAGAACAGCCAGGGGTCATCCTCTTTGGCCTGGAGGAAGTAGCAATGGATTGTCCTGCCAGGTCACCACCCCAGAAAGACACGTTATTTAGGGCAAACCAGCAAAAAACATCCCACACAGGACCAGAATAGAGGTTCCTCTGTGTGCTGGGCCCAGGGGCTGAGCCAGCATCTCCCGGGGGATGGAGCAGGAGGAGGAAGCAACCCAACCTCCTGGGAGGCAGGGTGAGTTCAAATCCCATCAGAACCAGCAGTCTCTGGTCTTTGGAGACTGAGGATGAGGCTGTGAGCAGGGAGGGAGCTAGTAGGGGTGGGCAGTCTTCTTGTGGCTGCCAAGGGCAGGGCCAGGTGAACAAGGGAGATCCCTTTGAAAATGATGGATACCACATAGGAAATGCCAGCCCTGGGACCATCTCTCTGAATTCATACAATCACATGAGGTAGGGATTCCTTTTTTTTTTTTTTTTTTTTTTTTAAGGAGGCTCCACACCCACGTGGGGCTTGAACTCACAACCCAGAGTTGTCTGTTCTATCAACTGAGCCCGCCCGGCACCCCAGTAGATTCTGTAATACTTTTTACAGATGAGGAAGCTGAGGCCTAATCTGCCAGAGTTCCATGGCAGGAGCCTGAGTAAGGCCAGGTCTCCTTCCAGGTCCTTCTGTGCCTGGAAGCTCCACTCCCAACCCTCTGCCAGCCAGGTCACATCCTCTACCCTTTCCTCGGCCCAATACCTGCTCTGAGGGAGACTTGGAGGAAGACTTGGAGACTCTGGCTACTGTCAGGCCAGCAGCTGGGGTTGGCCGCCAGCCTGCTCCTCCCCACTTCCCCAGCTCAGGGCACTCCTCCCTCCTCCCACACTTGCAGAGCCTTCTGGGCCAGCCTGGTACTGGGGAGGGGGAGGCAGGGCCCAAAAGGCAGTGCTGTGGTCCAGGTGCCAGGTCTCCAGCCTCTCCTGAGAAAGCAGGGGGCAGGAGAGGGAGTATGCTGGGTTACCCAGACTCCCTGGCACAACTGGCCACATAATTTGTGGGAGTTCGATGCAAAAAGAGAACATGCCTGATTAAAAAACATTAAGACTTTCAAGTTGACAACAACAGAGTATTATGCCAACCACAGGACTCTGAACAACTGTACAGGTTATATGCCCATGAAGCAGGCCCCAAACTCTGGAGCAGGGAGCTAGACCCCAGGGCTTCATCCCACCTGAGAGCCTGAGGTCCTGGGGTCATGGTTCTCCATTAGGCTCCTGGTCTCCAATGAAGGAGGGAGGAAGAGAGGAGAAAAAAGGAGGTAGGAGTAGTGAAGCCCTCTGGTGGGCCCTTCCCAGCCCCCTAGTGCAGGGTCCAGGCATCAGGCTCCACTCTGATAAGGGATTGCATCCTGGCTCAGCCAAGTGGCCTCTCCTTACCTATGAAATGGGCTAACACCAGCCCCCTCCCCATAGGGTGGCTGCAGGCCCTTGTTCACTGGCACTTGCTGTTTACTGGTGGGTCTCTTTTTCTCACCTGATAGGTAAGAAAGCTAAAGTTCAGAGAGAGAAAGCCTGGGGCCTGCTCTCTGCCTCCCTCTCTTGCAGTGAGACCCACTGCAGAGTTAAAAGGGAATTTCACTGGTCAAGTCCTTGGAATTTAACCCATGGACCAGGGAGGTGACAGGGGGTGGGGCAATTTCCTTCCCATCCTGAGTCACTTCCTGCCAGGCCCTAGACTCTCCTCTCACTGGTGCAGGGTGGGGGGGTCTCCTGGAAGCCTCTGAGTTGGGGCGTTCCCTGAGTCAAGTGCACCCAGGAGGCCAGACTTCCTGGCCTGGTAGGGAAGAGGCTCCCTGACCTGGTAGGGAAGCCGGTAGGCTCCTGCGGAAGAGAAACGTGGGCAGATTCAGGGCCAGGAACCCAGCCAGCTGTGGGCCTGGGGAAGGGCCCAAGGACTCAGTTTGCCCTCAAGTTAACATGTTACGGGATGGTGGCAGGCAGATGAACCCCCATCCCCTCCCCCAGACACATGATCACACTTCAGACAGACTTCCAGAAAACACACGTTTACCCGTACACTGCAGAGATGGCCCTGACAGTCACAGTTCAAAGGCCCCTTTGCCCAACGAACCCCAAGCTCCAAGCTGCCCTGACCAAGGCAACCGGCCTGGGAAGTGTGGCACCAAAGGCAAGTAGAAGGGGGAGTGTAAGGGAGGACCAGGGCTGTTGAGCAAGATCAAAGATTGTGATGCTGGTGAGTGGGGGGCCATCGGCCCCAGGGCAAAGGCCACTGGACAGACCCAGAGAAGGGATGAAGATTTGGATGACTCAGGGAGTGGGGTGAGGAGGGCGCCAAGGTCGCCACAGTCCTCTTCTCCCTCTCAAGTCCTAGGATGGCTCCAAGTGTCCCCAGGGTAGGGCACAAAGGGACCTTAGGTCCAGTAGGCATGTGGCAGGAGACAGGATCCATAAATTTTTAGTGGAGTGTTGAACAGAGGCCTGGGGAAGGCGTTGCGGCTGGCTGGGTGACGGGGCTACTGGGTCCTCCATGATGGGTGGGCAAACACAATAGGCCTCTTCTTGGCCCAGCGGGAGAACACAGCCTTCTCAGTGATGAAGCGGTGGGCGCTGCGGGGCGCCCGCTCATGCGCCAGGTACATCTGACACTCATCCAGCCGGCCCTTCTCAAAGTAGTGGTAAGGCACCGAGGGGTGGCTCTCCTCCCTGCAGGTGGGTAAGAGGGACAAGCATGGGGTACCAAAACTGGCCCACCTCCCAGCACACCCTGTCACCTACCACGACCACCCCTCACCAGGTACTCCCCCAGAGCCCCACACCAGCGAGAGGGCTAGGACAGGACAGCAGGACAGCCCACAGATCCCAGAGGTCAGAGTTCAACCCCGACTCTGCCTTTGGCAAGCTGGCTGATTCTGGGCCAGAGATGTACTTTCTGAGTATAAGTAACTCATCTATAAAATGGAGGGTCATCTGAGACCACAGGTCCCAAAAGATCAAGACTGTAAAGTACAGAGGGCAGAGGGCATACAGGCTCCTGCCATCTCACCCATGTGCTCATCAAGCAAGCTCCAAAGAGAACAGAAGATAAAGATCTGGGATGTGTTCATGTTCCAAACATGTCACTTCCAATAATACTGGAATATTAGGGCACCTGGGTGACTCAATGGTTGAGCATTGGGGTCCTGGGATCCGGTCCCACACTGGGCTCCCTGCAGGGAGCCTGCTTCTCCCTCTGCCTGTGTCTTTGCCTCTCTCTGTGTCTCTCACAAATAAATAAATAAAATCTTTAAAAAAAAAAACTTTAATACTGGAATATTATAGTATCAACAGCAATAGGTCAGATGTGACATATCCCTGACACACCTATCAGCTGGTGCCTGATAACGCCATTCTAACCACTTTGGTAGATTATTCTCTCTCTAAATGTTTCTACAACCTTCTGGAGGTGTGATTATTTTCTTTTACACATGAGGAAATGGAGGCCCTTGGGAGGTGGTGTGACTGGCCCAAAGTCACAAAGGCAGGATGAGACTGGTCATGAGGCTGGCTCCTTCCCATCAGGTGCCAGGCCCATGGGGTGTCTGGGCCTCAGCCGCCCACTGGGGAGCCCACACACCCTGGGTCCCACAGCTCCTAGGCCCCCGGGGTAAGGCCAGCACAGGGGCCCCACAGGGTCCTCCTTGCCCTGGCCTTTCCTCCTGCCCAGGACCCGGCTGGCCTGACCTGCAGTAGCTGTCGCTGACCATCCCATAGACCACGATCTCCTCACACAGTTCCAGGGCGAGGATCATGGTGAACCAGCCAGTGCTGAGAAAGGAGCCCGACTGCCTCCTGCCAGGAAGGGGGAACAGTCAGCCTGGCTGCTTCCCCAACTCAAGTCAGAGCAAGGCACTGTGTGGAGCACCCAGCCTCAGCTCTCTTAGGACACGGCGCTGGCTACCCTCCCAGCCAAAAGCCCCTACCTTGACCCCTTCAGAGGGGACCCTGGGGGAACCTGGGGAGGGGACAGAGCCAACCTGAGATCAGCAGCAGGTAAGAGGTGGAGCTGGATGCAAACCCAGGCCTGTTCAGCCCCTTACCACCCACACAGGACTTGAGCAACCCCCCAGACGACAGTGTGGTCACAACCTCTGCTATTCTAAGGGACCAAGCTTGGGGAGATGGCAGGAGGCCATAGAGCGCAGTGGTTGAAAATGGGTAAGACGGTTGTCTGCAGGAGCACCCGGTGGCTCAGATGGTTGAGGATCTGCCTTCAGTTCAGGTCATAGTCTCAGGGTCCTGGGATCGAGTCCTGCATCAGGCTCCCAGCTTAGTGGGGAGTCTGCTTCTCCCTATGCCTGCCTCTCCCCCGTGCTCATACTCTCTCTGTGTGTCTTTCTTAGGTGAATAAATAATTTTTTTTTAAAAAAAGACAGTTGTCTGGAGTCAAATGGCCTTCAATTCAAACCCTGAATCTGTTCTGCAGTACGTTTGCTCCCAAAGCTCTCTGGAGCTCACTGACCCACCTGTGAAATGGGGAGAATCAGAGATATTTATGGGGAGGGAACATTGTCAGCTCAGCACCTTCCCCTTGCCCCCGTACCCACCTGGGAGCAAGGGGCTGTGTGGATAGCCCCTGCCTCAACCCTCTCAATGTACCAGCACTGGTTACTCTCCTAGCTGAGGGCTACCCACCTCTACCTCGGCAGGGGGGTTATGGGGTAGCTCACTCATTCAAACTCAATACCTCCCAGGCCCTGTGCTAGCCAGGAACCTGCCCCAGCCAGTACTAACATTCTCAAGGAATGGGGGCAGAACTGCTGAAAAGGCAAGGAGACAAAGGAAGAGGACAATATCATGCAAGGAGGTGTGCCTGCAGATGGGGTGGTCCAGGAGGGCTTCTCTGAGGAGGTGTCATCCCATCCAGACCTGAACAGCAAGGAGTCAGTCATAGAGAGATACAGGGAAAGAACATTCTAGACAGAGGGAATAGCATGTGCAAGATCTGCTTCGAGGAACCCCAGATGGCTGGGGCAGGCAAAGTGAAGGGAAATGATGAAATAACAGAGGTAGGCAGGGGCCAGATCATACAAGGTTGCAGGCCAGGAGAGGGGGGGAGTGGGGGCCTTGACTCTATTCTCCATGCAAAGTGAAGCTGCTGTCAGGTTGAGGGCAGGCCACCAATGGGATGAATTCACTGGGGGTTGGCGCTCAGACTGCGGGAGTGGGAGCAGAGCGGCAGCAGCAAGGGGGTGCTGCAAGGGAAGCAGGGGGTGGGGCCAGCAGAATGATGGCTAGGTCAAGGTGGCACCTGTGGGCACAGAAGGAGAGTTAAGAGCCCACTATAGGTGGCAGGTGATGCAATAAAAGGAGTCGAGTGCACAACCCAAGTTTCTGGCTGGGAAACCAGAGGTTCTGGCTGGGAAACCAGAGGTTGGTGCTGTATTTCCTGAGCTGGGGCAGAGCAGGGAGAGTTGGGGGAGCCAGTGTGCGGAGGAGGCTGGCGGGAGTCAGGTGCTCCTCTGAGCATAGGATAAAATGAGATCTTCAATGTAGAGTGCTTAACCCAGAGCCTGGTGCACGGAGAGGGCTGTTACCACCGCAACTGTTACTTCTGCTATGTGGCAGGGACTTTACACACCAATTCAGATCTCAGGGAATATCCACTCCAGAGGGAAGGGCTCCCTGCCACTGCTCCACCCGCCAGTGCTCCCTTATCTAGTGCTTGCAAGGCCAAACACCCCCCCCCCCCAGCGCTTGGGATATGCGTGCTAATTCGATGAATGACAGGCCTTCAGATTCTGTCCTCCATCAGAGGCAGGACATCTGCCTCCATCACCGCTGACCCCCAGCGCCTGGTGGAACAGACCCTGGAGGGACAAGGAGATGCTAGAGAAGGCATGCCCCCAGGCAGCAGGCTGGCCCCAGGCTCACCGGTTCTTGCCCGTCTCGTCCTGGAAGACCTGGTCGCAGTAGGCCATCATGTGCTCAGTGAAGGTGTACACCTGCAGGCCTGGGTACATCTTGGTGAGCTGTAGCAGCGTGCGGTAGGTGCGGCCCCCCAGCGTCCGGTCCATGTGCTTGCCCTGGCCCCACACCACATAGAGCGTGTCTCGGGCATGCTGGAAGTAGTGTGAGTAGTTGCGCAGCAGCAGCGGCACACTCGTGTGCGAGACCACGCGCAGGGTGCTGCGCCGGCCCACGTCTGCCTCAAAGCCCACAGTGGGTGCCTGGTTCATGCGCAGGACGCACTCAGCACTGTCAATCTCGGCGCCCAGGCCTGAGCCCAGCATCTGGCCGGAGCTGGAAACCACGGCGCAGCTGCGGCACGGTTCTCGGACCAGCGGCTGCAGAGAGGAAGGAAAAGGCATGAGCATACAGCTCCCACGGCGCTGCGCCTCCACCTGGTACCAGGCACTGACTCCACAGGATCCCTGTATCAGCTCCAAGTACGGCATCAACCCATTCTGCAGATGAGGAATTTGAGACTGGGCAGGCAGTGACTTTCCCACGGTCATATGGATAGCGGGTGGCAGGGCTGAGACTCTGTGTGCTCAGAGCCCCATGCTTCCTCATCGGCTGTATTCATGCTCCTTCTCCTTACTGCTGAGCCCCTAACAGGCCCTCTTTCATGGGTTCCTTATTGCAATTACATGAGCAAATATTTATAAAGCACTTAGAGCAATGCCTGGCACAGACTGGGTGTCATACATGTGTTTGTTAAGTAAACATGAACCTCAGCTCTTCACAATCACTGAGACCACTCCCTCCTCTGCCTAAGCCCTGCTCACGTTATGCCTGGTTCATAAGTACAAATGGAGTGTTTAGTGCCCCAACAACACTCACAACCTCCCGTTCTGAGCTGGAATCCTGGCTTAGCCCTTCCCCTGTCTCTCAGAGCCTCAATTTTCTCATCTGTCAAATGGGAATGAACTTCACCAGGTTGTGAGGACTTAATTAAAAATGCCTGGAGAGGGCAGCCCGGGTGGCTCAGCGGTTTAGCGCTGCCTTCAGCTCAGGGCATGATCCTGGAGACCCAGGATCAAGTCCCACATTGGGCTCCCTGCAGGGAGCCTGCTTCTCCCTCTGCCTGTGTCTCTGCCTCTCTCTGTGTCTCTCATGAATAAATAAATAAATAAAATCTTTAATAAAAAAAATGCCTGGAGAGTGGGGTGCTTGGGTGGCTCAGTCAGTTACGCATCTGCCTTCAGCTCAGGTCATAATCCTGGGGTCCCAGGATTGAGCCCCACATCGGGCTCCCTGTTCAGCGAGGAGCCTGTTTCTCCCTCTCCCTCTGCCTGCCTCTTCCCCTGCTTGTGGTCTCTCTCCTCCACTCCCATCAAATAAATAAATAATCTTTAAAAAAATAAAAAAATAAACTCAGAGAAGCAGAAGCTGAGCCAGCAAACCTGCAAATGTTCACTGGGGTCAGAGGTCAGGACTCCCAGAAAAGTATTTGCTCCTCACTCCATGTTACCATGTCCTCCTGGGGGGATCAGGGTTTACAAAGGCCTATATCCCACTTGGGGACATTTTATATCTAACATGATGTTGATTTAGGGACTCATAAGCCCATATTCCAAGCCCCCAAGCCACAGAACAAGACTCCTTTATTCTGCCTGCAGTTTGAGCCTGACAGTGGGGGTCTGTTCAGATCTGAGGTCCCCACCAGCCTCAGGAGATATTCTGCTTGTCCCATGTAAGGTCTTAAAAATATTTAATTGCAATCAGTCCACTTTGGTACCCCAAACCTGGATTTCTGGATTCGTTTAAGAAACTCAGAGGATCTGGCTACCTTCAGCCCACATCCCTATGAGCCCTTGAGTGTATGAAATAGACACTGGCCACCACCATGGAAGATGGGACAGCATCTACCTGGCCCACAACCACCACTTGTCCTATGTGCCCAAAGCCCCAGGGGTTTTGCTTTTTTTTTTTTAAGATTTTACTTCTTTATTCATGAGAGACACGCAGAGACATAGGCAGAGGGAGAGGCAGGCTCCCCGCAGGGAGCCCGATGTGGGACTCAATCCTGGGACCCCAGGATCATGCCCTGAGCCACTGAGTCACCCAGGTGTCCCTGGTTTTGCATCTTGATCAAATATTTATACAGCACCTGTTGTGACCACTGTCCAAGGATCACCCAATTCAATCTGCCCGGCAACACTATCAAGGTAGAAACCACAAGATGGTCTCTTACTGGAGCACCTGGGTGGCTCAGTGTTTGAGCATCTGCCTTTGGCTCAGGTTGTGATCCTGGGGTCCTGGGACCCAGTCTCACATCGGGCCCCCCTTAGGGAGCCTTCTTCTCCCTCTGCCTATGATTCTGTCTCTCTGTGTCTCTCATGAATAAATGAATATAATCTTAAAAAAAAAAAAAGACGGTCCCTTACTGATGAGGAGGCAACCGAGACTCAGAGAAATTAAGATCCAAAATACGTCTCCTCTAAGCCAGGGTCCCTGAACATGCCTCCCTCTGACCTGTGGAGCTTTCTACCCTGGTATCAGTGTGGGATGCTTCTAAGAAAGCTACCCTGAGGGGGGGCACTGAAATCAAGGTGAAGGGTGTGAAGTACTCCAAACCACACTTGGCAGACAAGCATAGGGAGGTAGGCATCATGGGGCAGAGACCACAGCTGCCTTGTCACCTCTGAGCCCCAGGGTCCCTGTGTCCCCCTAAGAGGGAGAGCTCTGGGGTTGATATGACTTCTCTCTCTCATCTCTATCCCCAGCAGCCATCAGCAAAAGGCAGGGCACATCCAAAGCACCAAAGACACACCTGCTGAATGAGTAGATTATGTGTATACATAGTTAATTCTAAAGATACATAGAGTGAAGCACAGACCCCTATGATGTGATGGTGTCTGTCACCCACACTGGACTAGGAGCTCCAGATGGCCAGCCACCCTGGCTGACTCACCTTTTTCTTACTTCCAGCACCCAGCTGAGAACAGCCAGGCAAGATCTGTTGAATTAAAAATAAAACAAAACAAAAAAACCCAAACCACTTCCTCTTAGAACTTGGTGCTCACGGAGGTGAAGTGGCTGCTCAGTGTCACACAGCTGGAGCAAAGGAGCCAAGCCTTGGGTCCCGGCTGGCCTTGCATGAGCCTGGTTCTCACCTATGCCCAGGAGGTTGGGGGCACCCTGGCAGCTGTGGCCTGCCATGTTGCGCCATGTCGTCTGGCCAGCTCACCTTCCCATCTGGCACGCTGCTATATCCACTGAAGTGCAGGGGCCCTGGCACGGTGGGCCTGGAGTGGGTGGACAGGTGGGGGTCCAGGCAGGAGGCCGGGCAGAAGGGCAGGCAGGCCCAGCAGCACAGCAGGATGTAGGCAGCAGAGAAGCCCAGGGAGCACAGGATGATGAGCAGGAGCCGGCCCTGGGGGAAACCATGGTCAGGGTGTGTAGGTGTGGGTCTTTGGGGCTCCTAGAAGTTCGTGCTGGCTGCTGTACTCCAGCCTCATGGGTCCAAACCACAGCTCAGTAGCTTCCAGAACAAGAGCACACCCCGCGATCTCGGTTAAGCAGGGTTTCCCCTGTCCCCTCCCCTAGCTGCTCAGTGACCAGTCCCGAGCTGATGATCCTGATCTGGGTCAGCGGCCAGGAAGCGACTGAAATCTCACTCAAGGAATGTTTCAGTCATTGAAAGTTGCCACTCAGAGGCCCCCATCTCCAGAGAACATGTGCCAGAGGCAATGTGAACCAGGAAGCCCTCCTGGCCCCTTGGCTCTGCTGGCCAATTTAGTGACCAAGGCTTCAAGGAAGGGCCACCACATAGATGGCACAACCCGGGGCTATTATCATGTGCTGGGCCACCCCAGTCACCATCTGTGTCTCTTTGGGCTCTAATATTCTCCCAGCCTGACCAAGGCATAGGTCCCTCAGCTGCCCCTCAGAATCCACTTAGAAGCTACGGGTGCTCTGAAAATCGGAGGTGGGAAAGCAGCCTCCTCCACTCCCCCCCAGGCAGATCCTACCAGAGGCCCACCCTTTTCTGCCCACAAGCCACATCAGCTTCTAAAAATAAATCTCCCGGTGGCCAGCTGTGTGGGGGAGGGGGTTCAGTCCCTGAGGCCTCAGGCTCTGCCTGGCACCTGGTCCTCTGCTCACAAAGGACCCAGAGACCTGAATTCAGGCAGTGGTAGTGGACTCCCCCCAACACCCGGGGCCCCTCTCCCACAACCAGGGGCTTCTGAATAGTCAAGGGCAGCTAAACAGAACTTTCACACCATATCCCCCTTCCAGGTGGGTGCCGCACCTGGGTCACCCCTGGGGATGCTTACAGGGGGTAGTACTATTATCTCCATATTACAGGGGAGTCTGGCAAGGCACTGAAACCTGAGAGGGAACACACTTGCCAGAAGCCACACTGCCCACCAGACCAGATCAGCAGGGTTTTGAGGCCAGTCTGCCCTTCTTAGCCAGGAGTAGTGGGTCAGAAGTGAGTCAGTCCTGGGGTGGGAGAGGTTATGAGGCTGCTGTGCCGGAAGTTCCCCAAGAGCCTTCCTCCTTTCACCACTTACCGGGGCCTTCATGCTGTTGCCGCTGCTCAGCAGCCAGGGGGCTGCCGTCTCCAGGCCTCACGCTGGGAAGGGGTGGGGGCCAGGCACCTGCCAAGATCCAGAAACTCAGAGCTGGGTCCTGGGCCTCTGAGGAAATGGCCCAGGGAAACTGAGGCAGCGGAAGGTGTGGGCCGGGGTCTAGGCAGATGACTTCCAGGAATCAAACTCCTTAAAGCCCGCAAACACCGGACAGTGTCGTCCTCATCCTAAAGGAGCTGATGTCAGGTGGCCTTTGGGAAACCTCCCACCAACCCAATCCCCATTGTGCAGATGGGGAAGGAGAGGCGGGGAGAGGGAGCCCTCGGTTCAAGGTCACCCATCGAGTCCGGGTCAGCGAGAACCAGGAGCCAGGAGCCCCGACTGCCACTCCATCCCTCCTACCTCCCTACAGGCGAGATGAACGGAGAGGCCTGGGGCAGGATAAGACGAGGGATTTCCACCCCTCTTCTCCCCGATTCCACGGCCCCCTCCCCTGGCCAGGCGCTAACCAGGAGGACGCGCTGGGGCGCTCCGGCTGCTCTCGATCCGCTGCTCGGAGCTCCATGGCCCGCAACCCGGGCGGGCCAGGCTGGAAGCCGGAGCCCCGGGGCGGAGGCGGCACCGCTGCCGCGGCGGCTGGAGGCTGGACCCCGAACGTGCGCCGCCGGCAGCGGAGGCGGGGTCTGCGAGGACAGGGAGGGGACCGGCGCGCTGGGGGCGGGCCCCGGGCGACGGGGGCGGGACCTACGAGCACCGCCGGCGCGGCGGGGGAGGGAAGTGCGTGGCCGGGGGCGGGGCCCGCGGCCGGGGGCGGGGCGGGGCGGAGCCCGCGGCCGGGGGCGGGGCGGGGGCGGGGCGGGGCGGGGGCGGAGCTCAGCCCTCCCAGGCTTTTCTGTTTCTCCCGAGCTCCAGCTCCGGCGGGGGATCGGACGGGCAGCGCGCGGAGCAAAAGGACCGAGGGGATGTGGGAGCCGCGGCGCCGTGGCTGCCTAGCTTTCCGGACTCGACTTTCTCCATTTCTGAAATCGGGGGCGGGGCGGGGCGGGGGGGGGCAGGAAAATTAAACAGGGGCTTGGGGTCAGGCAGCCCTGGGTTTCAAGCTGCTAGGGTCGCGCCAGGTTTAGCCAGTAAGATACAGGACGCTCTGTATATTGGAATTTCAGATAAACAATGAATAATTATATTAAAGATCTGACATTCCAGTGTAACTGGGCATTCTGTATTTTCTCTGGCCGTGTGACTTCCACCTTAGCCTCAGTTTTTCTCCTGCATGAAGTGGTGATAGATAATAGGGAGGCCTGGGTGGCTCAGCCGTTGAGCGTCTGCCTTCTGCTCAGGGCGTGATCTCGGAGTCCCGGAATCGAGTCCCACATCGAGTCCCACATCGGGCTCCCTGCATGGAGCCTGCTTCTCCCTCTGTCTGTGTCTCTGCTTCTGTGTGTGTGTGTGTGTGTCATGAATAAATAAAATGAATAAAATCTTAAAAAAAAAAAGTGATAATAACAGCACCTACCTGCCAGTGAGGTGGTGCAGGGCAGCTGTAGTACAGTCAGGACTCCAACCCTGGGCCATGTACTTTCTTGCCTCTTAACCCTTCCCCTTCCCAAGTGTCCTCCAAACCCCAACCAACTCAGTCTTGTACCCCCTGCAGATGCTGAAATGTGTCCCATTTGAAGGCTCAAGGGACGCCTGGGTGGCTCAGCGGTTGAGCATCTGCCTTTAGCTCAGGGTATGATTCTGGGGTCTGGGATCAAGTCCCACATCAGGCTCCCTGCATGGAGCCTACTTCTCCCTCTGCCTATGCCTCTGCTTCTCTCTCTGTGTATCTCATGAATTAATAAATAAAATCTTTTTTAAAAAATGAAGGCTTAACTGGGGTCCCCTGGGGAGTCCAAACTCAAGTGCCTTCAGAGGCCAGAAAGGGTTGAAAGAACAGATAGAGGGCAATAGGGAGGAGTGGGCCTGTGGTGAAGTGGAGGGCATGCTTCTCACCTAAAATGTTTTTTATAAAATGTTTTATGGGCCAGAAAGCTCATCTGACCACCTCTATCACACCTCCCTCTGCAGGGCCTCTCCCTGGGATCCAGGCTAGGTTTCTGCTCAGACCCCATTTCTTTTTTTTAAAGATTTTTAAATTTTACTTATTCGTGAGAGACACAGAGAGGGAGAGAAGCAGAAACACAGGCAGAGGGAGAAGCAGGCTCCACGCAGGGAGCCCGATGTGGGACTCGACCCCGGGACCCCAGGATCATGCCCTGGGCCGAAGGCAGGCGCCAAACCGCTGAGCCACCCAGGGATCCCCCCATTTCATTTTTTAAAAAAGATTTTATTATTTATTCATGAGAAACACAGAGAGAGAGGCAGAGACAGGCAGAGGGAGAAGCAGGCTCCATGCAAGGAACCCAATGCAAGACTCGATCCCAGGTCTCCAGGATCACGCTCTGGACTGAAGGCAGGTGCTAAACCACTGAGCCACCCAGGCATCTCTCAGACCCCATTTCAAATTCCATCTGCCTTTTCCTCAATGCCTCTGGTGTGGGCACAATGCCAAGGTATCATGTTTGGGTATCTGCACCAAGATCAGCAACTCCCAAGTCTACCTAGATTGCTCCAGTGCAAAACCAAGTCCCCAATGCCTATCCCCATCCTATGGTGGGGGTGGGGGACTGAAGCAGCCCTGCCCCAAGCCTCTTTTGAGCACAGGCCTACCTTGTTTCTCCCCCAAAGCTTGGGCACAGCTCAAGGGTAGTGGTTCAAGTTCCATCTCTCTCTGTGGTCTCCTCTTTACTCCAGGTCAGGCACACAGTGGGTCCCCAAAGCCAGAGCCCTTCTGCCCCCAACCCCAAGTCCTCATCCTTCAAGTTTCTCTCCTCAGAGACCCAACCCCAAGGGGACAATGGTGAGAAATCCCCTACAGATTCATTCATCACCCACAATGGTTGGTGAAGTGATATTTGTTTCCCCAGAGAGGCAACTGACTCCCTCCTTGTTAGGGCCACATGAGGACAAGGACATGCCCAGATGTCCTGGACTTAGATACAGGTCCACAGGAGTACTGACAGTGGCAAGTTCTGCAGGCTCCGATGAAGCTTTTCAATTTGGTTTTGGCAAAAGTCTACTGTCTTTTTTTTTTAAGATTTTATTTATTTATTCATGAGAGACACACAGAGAGAGAGGCAGAGACACAGGCAGAGGGAGACGCAGGCTCCATGCAGGGAGCCCAATGTGGGACTTGATCCTGGGTCTCCAGGATCACGCCCTGGGCTGAAGGCGGCGCTAAACCACTGAGTCACCTGGGCTGCCCAAAAGTCTATTGTCTTTAACCTGAAGGACAGGCTCTGTACAGTCGGAATGCCTGTCTTTCTTTTTAATCACCATCCAACCACCCTGGCCACCTTCTGACCCCCGATCACATCGAGCTCATTCTTACCCCAGAACCTTTGCACTTGCTGTTTCCTCTACCTGGATGGCTCTACTCACATAGCCAGCTCCTTCCTGTCCTTCAGCTCAAACATCACTTCTTCAGAAAGGCCCTCACTGGGGCACCTGGGGACCTCAGTGGTTGAGCATCTGCCTTTGGCTCAGGTCATGATCCCAGGGTCCTGGGATCAAGTCCTAAATTGGGCTCCCCACAGGGAACCTGCTTCTCCCTCTTCCTATGTCTCTGCCTCTCTCATGAATAAATAAATAAAATCTAAAAAAAAAAAAAAAAAAAGGCCCTTGCCAACCACACTGTGACACTGCGGGCCCACCCTTCTAAGTTCCACTTTGATTGGTCTTTTCCACAGTATTGGTCACATTCTGAAATCATCCTGTGTACTAACTGCCTTTCTTGTTCATGGTCCGTCCACCCATTTGACAGACTCTCAGCCACGTGTGGGCAGAGTCAGGCCAGTCATGTTCTCGAGCATTTCCAGTATCTGCACAACACCCAGCATGCACAAGATGCTAAGTAACATCTGTTGAGTGACCACATTAGGAGAACCAGGAGTCCTGGGCCCCATGAGATCTTGGATAAGTCACGTCCCTCTCCAGCCTCAAGCTCTGGCTCAGCCCTTGCCAGAGATCCAAGGTAGGTGAAGGGCTGAGCCATCCTCATCTATGAGTGCAGGATTCTCAGGCTCTGACTCAGTCCAGCCAGATCCAGACTCTGGGGAAATGCTGGGCCAAACCCGTTTCCTGCTGTGCTGCCCCTACTGCTACTGAGCTTCCTCAAGTACCCACCTCCAGAGTGATGGCTTTAAGGCTTCTATGTCTCAACTTCCTGCTGAGCCCAAACAAGAAATTCTCTGTGACTTGTGCCAGTTCAGAGAGATTGAATAATCACCTAAGGTCACCCAGACAATGAGGGGTGAGGTCAATTGTATACTTTTCCAGGAGCCCACACTCCTGGGCTGCCGCGTTAACTTCCCCTTACCTCTCCCTTCCCTACCCATCATTTTGCTTCATTTTCTCTGAATGCTAATGGACTGACACTATTTGGTATCAGCTGAGTGGCTCTTCCAAAGTCCAGTCCCAGTCCTGGGGAGTCAGCTCTTGGCCCACAAAGTCCCCCTTTACCACCACATTGCCTCTCCCATTCTGAACTCTGACCACAGTGAAATGTTTCCTTCTCTCAAGTGTCAGGCTTTCTCTCATCCCAGGCCTTTGCCATGCCCTTGGCCTGGGACCCGCCCAGGACTGCATCTGACTCTTTTGGTCTCAGCTGAGATGTTAGAGCCCCACCTCCATCAAACTATTAGGTGGAGGCCCCTTCCCTCAGCACAATGGACCCATGCTCCTTCATGAGGCTGTGTCATGCCAGGCTGCCTTTGTCACCTCTCCCCAGACTGTGAGTTCTGTGAAGATAGAATCTGTGAATCTTGCTCCACCCTTGGGTCCCCATCACCCAGTAGAGGGCCTGTTATGTAGTAGGTGCAACAATAAATATTTAATGAGTGAAGTCCATTTTCATCCTTTCATTTTACAGATTAGACCACTGAGGCATAGAGAGGTTTAGCACCTTGCCCTGGTCATACAACCAGGCCCCAGAGAAGCTCTAGAGGAAAGGCCCACTTGGGTATGGTTGGATTGGACCGGGGTCAGAGGCCAGGCTGTAGTTTCCTGGTGGGAGGAGAAGGAATGATCAGGGGCTATGCACGCAGTATTTCCTTGCTCGCTGTCATTTCCATGTGGCCAAGGGTCAGACCAAGATTGGTCTGACCACCAATCCCTACGCCCATTTCGCAGATGAGATAAGTGACTCCCAGAGGAGAAAAGAGCTTACTTCAGATCAGTGGTGGGCTGCAACATAGTGTCTTCCAGAGACACAGGCCCTTGAATACCCCCCACCTTCTCCCAACTGCATCCCTCAAGGAGCCACAGTGAGGGGGACACTCCAAAAGGAAGTCAGTGGGCAAGGGGGAAGGAGGCCTGGGTTCTCGGACTTGCCCTTCCACTTACCCATGGGTAAGCGCCTTAAAGTCTCTGAGCCTGTTTCCCCATCTGGACGACAAAGGCGCTTGGCTGGAGCCTTCAGCCTCCCCCCTTCCCTGGAGCATGAGGACAGGGCTGAGGGAACTGGTGAGTAAGAACACAGGCTCCTGAGTCCAAAAGGCATAGTCGAGTCCTGGTTCCAGCATTTATTGCTGAATGCTCGTGCTCAGTCCCTTCACCCTCTGAGCCTCCATCTTATGGTCTGTAAAAAGAAAGTAATAGCAGTTTTTTGAGGATTAGATGAGCTAATGTAGGGGAGTCCCTGGCACAAAGCCAAACACGGCATCACCACCAGAGGAGGCTGTGTCGTCACCGTTTTTAGTTAGGGGATGCTGCCCTCTGGAGGCCAAAGGGAGGAACGCCAGGCGAAGGGAGCCCGACAGGCCGCCCGGGCCAGCCTGGAACCCCGGTTCCCCACGTGCGCCCACTGTCCGGACGCGGAGAGCGCGGCGGGCGCCGGTCACTCGGTGTGCGCTTCCACCCACTGGCAGAGGCGACGGGCGTAGCGAGCGGGGCTGACGGTGGAGAAGGTCCGGCCCGGGTAGCGCAGCGTCTTCCACAGGTGCTCCAGCCGCTTGCGGAGCCCGTAGACAGTAGCGAGATCCACGAGGCCCAGGAAATAGCGCTGCTCCGGCCCGTCCAGGATGTGTAAGGCGTTGGGGGAGTCCGGCAGCAGCCGGCGGTTCTGGGATCCCGGCTCCTCGGGGCTCTGCGCGCCTCGCACAGACCTGGCGGCCGACAGGGGGGTGAGGCTACTGCCTCCTCCGGGGGGAGCCTCAGCCCATGGATGCCCGCAAGCGTGGCCACGGGGCGCCCGGGCAGCCTTCTGCACCGACCCTGCCCGTCCCCGGCTCATTCCCACAACTCCTGTGGGCCAGGCCCCTGACGTCAGAGAAACCCCAGGCTGAGTGAAGTGCAGAGGATGCTTTAGACCTGCACTGTGCATTACGTAGCCACTAGCCCTATGTGGCCATTGAGCATTTAAATGTGACCAGTCCCAACTGAGATGCGCTGTAAATGTAAAATACATACTGAATTTCCAAGACAGTATGAGAAAGAGTGCAAAATGCCCCATAAATGTTTATACTGATTACAGGATGAAATTATAAAACTTGGGATGTATTAACAAAGTAACAAATATATTATTAAATTTTTACCTGTTTCTGTTTTTTTTTTTTTTAAAAAGATGTATTTATTTATTTATTTATCCATGAGAGACCCAGAGAGAGGCAGAGACACAGGCAGAGGGAGAAGCAGGCTCCCTGCAGGGAGCCCGATGGGGAACTGGATCCCGGGACCCCAGGATCACAGCCTGGGCTGAAGGCAGACCCTCAACCGCTGAGGCACCCAGGCGTCCCTTCTGTTTATTTTTCTAAAGAGGCTTCTAGAAAATTTAAAACTACACGTGTGACTCAAGCTACATTTCTATTGGGTGGTATGGGCTATAGCTTTTGGGTCGTAGAGACACTTACTTATCTGCAACATCACTTTGGCTAAGTCTGGTATGGGGGTGTTTCCTAAACCTCTCCTTGGGGTCATCCAACCCTGGAGGTTTCAGGATGGCAGAGCTAAAAGCTTATGAACAGAGTCCAGCTCCAGTTTATAGATGGCGTCGGGGTGGATGGAGAGGGAGGTTGCCTTCTAAATGTATTTGAGATCCGAAGATGCCTTTGGCTGGTTCCCAGTCTCTGCCAGAAGCAGGTTCAATTCCCTAATTTTATCCTCCAGGAGGTGGAGGGGAGTGCGGGAAGTATCCCAGGCATCAACCAATCAGAACCCAGTGGCCTGGGTGCCTGGGCTAAAAACACTGATACACTCTGCCGGGGTGTGTGTGTGTGTGTGTGTGTGTGTGTGTGTGTGTGTGTTTGTGTGTGTGTTTGTGTGTGTGTGTGTGGCTGGTTGCTGGGAACTGGTAAGGGTAGGGCAGTGGGTATTTACCAGCCAGCATATTTCAATATGAAAACAACCATTATATGCAAACTAGGGTTTACTGGCTGAATGACAACTGTAATCTAAGCCCCAGCTGGGGATAGAGTGGTAGGAAGAAGCTGACCTAGCTTGCATGGGCAGACCTGGGGAGAGAGGGGGTGGGGGGTGCCTGTGCCCCAAGGCAGGAATTCCACATTCTGGCCAGGATGTGTCCAGCTCAGCCAGAGGGCTGTGGGGAGCCACCAACCTCAATTCTGCTCAAGCCTCACCCACCCCAAGGTCTTCCTCCAAAGGGTGGGTTGGTGGGCTGGATGAGAGGATGTCATTTTTCACATTTCCTGAATGTGCCTTCCTTAACCGCTACATGATTCTCAGCCACAGACGTGGGCCATGGAGGACTGAAATCCAAGTAACTAACCAAGTACTAACATGCATCTGCAGAAGTCATTCTACAACCTCACTCCCCCTCTCTGAGCCTCAATTTTCACATCTCTAAAGTGGGAATGAGTCCACCTTAACAAAGTTCATGGTCAGCGTGCAAAGAGTGACAATTACTACTACAAAGCAGGAGACAACATGATGATGGTGCCAATGGTGAAGACCTCAGTCCTAGAAGTGGAATTGGTGTAAAGGACAAGGACTCTTTTGGGCAACTGGGTGGCTCAGTCAGTGAAGCCTTCCGCTCAGGTCATGATCCTGGGGGCCTGGGATTGAGCCGCAGCTCATTAGGAGCCTGCTTCTTCTCCCTCTGCCCCTCTCTCCCACTTGTGTTCCCACACTCACTTGTTCTCTCTCTCAAATAAATAAAACCTTTTTAAAAATAATAAAGGGGGGACACCAGGGTGGCTCAGAGGTTGAGCATCTGCCTTTGGCTCTGGGCGTGATCCCAGAGACCTGGGATCGAATCCCACATCGGGCTTCGTGAATGGAGCCTGCTTCTCCCTCTGCTCTGTCTCTGCCTCTCTCTCTCTATGTCTCTCATGAGTAAATAAATTAAATTTAAAAAATCTTTAAAAAATAAAAGAAAATAAAAATAATAAAGGGCTAGAGCTCTTTCTAAAGCAAAAATTAAATAGGTCTGAAAACTGCTTTGAAACCTTCAGTGGCTCCACATCCATCTTCAGGGAAATGGATAGATTCTTTAAATCAGCACTGAAGCCCTTGACCAGTTGGATTTCCCATGCTGCGGTCCACACCTGTCCATCAAGTCTGCCAGCCAGGCTTCTCAGCCCTCCACTCTACACACACACACACACACACACACACACACTACACACACACAAGCATATACACACAAACCCTGCACATTCTGGTCTCCAAGCCTTTGATTCTGCTGTCTGCCCCCCTCCCGCCTCCCCCATCTTTGTCAAGGTCTCAACACCTCCTTCTTGCCTTTGCTCTGTGGGGGGCCCACCTGGCTGTGCGGAAGATGAGGCTGCTGCCAGGGCCCCTCTCATCTTCGTGGAGACGCTGGAAGGCCATCAGAAGGCTGTAATCGAGCACGTTGAGCTCCCGGAGGAAGGCGGTGTCCAGTTCCATCTGGTGAATGAGCCAGCTCCGCTGGGGCCCTGCCAGAGCATCAGTGCCCCTACTTGAGTGCTCATTGTGTGCCAGGCAAGGTGCTGAGGGTACGACACCTATCTGCCCCAAGAGGGCAGGTGTCATTACTGTCCTATTTCACAGATGAGCATCTGCCATTTGCCCTAGTCACCTGGTTAGTAGGTCACAGCGCCAGGATTTGAACCCTCCCCTGCCTGACCCTAGAATAAGGGCTCTCCATGTCTCAGGCAGAGGGCAGGGCAGGGACACTCTTCTAACCTCACCCTGAATGGAGGAAGAGCAGGCACCAACTGCCTCCATGGCTCACCTAGGTCAATGGTCTTGCCTTGAAAGTTGAGGTCCTTCAGCACCAGGACAAGGGGGCTGCCCTCAGGGGCTGGCTCCACCCAGCGGCTCACCTCACAGCCCTTTATATCGTACCTGTGAGGGGGGATGACAGGAAGGGGGCAGCAAAATTCAGCTTTATAGAGACTGACACAAGTCGGGGAGCAAGAAATAAGAGCTTCCACTGGGAGGATGTTCAAATCTTCACCACAACCCCTATTGCATTATTGTCCCCATGGCAGAAAGGAAGAAAATGGCTCAGAGAGTATCTTTGTCTTGCCCAAGACCACATAGTAAGTAAAGGGCAGAGCAGGAATTTGAACTCAGGCCTCCGGAAGCCCAGTCCAGGCTTTATCCCTGCCTATGCCTCCCTCTGGGCACCTTATCCCTGGAAGTGTTCCCAATACAGGAGTCCAAGGCTAGGCAGCAGCACCAGTAAGGCTTGAGGGAAGCCCGTGGCCCCCGAGGGAGCACTCATGGAGAGCTTGCAGACAGAGTCAGGGTTAGGAGGCTCAGAGGGCAATGTGCGATCAGAGGCTGGGTTTGAATCCCTGCTCCTCCCGTGGTAGCTGCGTGGCCCTCCTCCTCCTCCTTCTCAGCTTCTCCTCTGTATAAAATGGGGATGATAACCACACCTATCCCTCAGAGTTGTTCTGGGAATAAAGAAGGCAAAGAAGGCAAAGACTCGACACAGCGTCCAGCGCATCCTGAGTGTTCAAGGGGGACGCTGGTCGTGCCTGTCCTTGTCTCCGATCCATCTGGAGATCCTGGGGCTGTCCCTTCTCCTCCCTGGGCCCCCGTTTCACATCTGTCTAGTGAGTACGGGTGCTTCAGGTGGCAGATCGCGCGTGGGGCTGGGGCCCTGGGAGGCGACTCACCTCTCAGAGATGCGGCCGGCAGGGTAGAAGACGCTCAGCATGATGATGAAGAATTCCTGGGGACGGGGTAGGGAGTGAGGAAGGACAGGATCTCACCCTCCAGCCGCCCCCTCTGGCCCGGCCCCCTCGCCTCGGCCTCACCCACCTTCTTTCCCCGAGCCACCCGCAGACTGTGCACTCCTGGAAGGGGAGAGGGCGCCAGGTGAGGGGCCCCCAACTCGACAGCCCCGGGTCCATCCCGCCCTAGCCCAGCTCCGGGCCACGCTTCCTCCCGGAGGCCCGCCGCCTCCCGAGCCCGCCCCTCCAGGCCGCGCCCCCAGACCTCTTCCTCGGCTTGAGTGGACGTCCCGACTGGACCCGCCTCTAGGCAGCCCCGGAGAGGCGCGGTCCTCAGGCGTGACCCCACCCACAGCCCCTGCCCGGGCCGGGGCGATCCCCGGCCCCTCCCACTGCGGAGGCCCCGCCCCAGAGCTCGGCCCACGCCCTCCAGAAACCGCCTTTCTCCTATGGGGGCTTCTCGGACACGCCCCCCCCTCCCGGGACGCTGCCCGCAGCCGGCGCCGCCGGCCCAGACCCCGGGATCAGATCCCCTACGCCCCCCATCCTGGCCGCCGCCCCACTCCCTGGCCCCTTCCCCTGCTCGCTCTCGGTCTCCTTCACTCCTCCTCCCCTCCTTTCCAACCCCCTCCCCGCCCCGCAGTCCCTGGTCCCCGGCCGGTCGTACCCAGCAACCGTGCAAGTAGCGAGTGCGGGTGCCGCTGCAGGTGCTGCACGTATCGGGGCAGATGGGCGAGCAGCGCCCGCACCTCCCGACGCCGCTGGGTCTTCAGGAAGAAGCGTTGGTCGTGGCTGGGGGGTGGAGGAAGAGGTCGCCGGTCAGGCGGGGCTGGAGCGGCCCCCACCCGGCCCTCTGCCCCAGTGTGGATCTGTCTCCCTGCCCTGCCCCCGCCCCCTCGCCCCGCCGCCCAGGACCGGGCTCGAGGCCTCCCCGCCACCCCTACCCCGTCACCTCCCACCCTCACTCTCCTCCATCTGACCTCTATCCGGACCTGACCCTCCCGGCCCTGGCCATCCTGTTTCTTTCCCAGCCACCCCCTCCACCCAGAGACACAGCGCCCACCCCTTCCCCACCCCTGCTGCCAGCTCACGACAGGAAGAAGCTGGCCTTGCTCTTGGAGGTGCTGAGGAACTGCAGGTAGGGGCCACCCGGGCCTAGCGCTGCCTGGTAGTCCTCCTCTGCCAGGCCTAGGGAACGGCGCAGCCAGGAGAAGGCTGGGCCAGCCAGGGTGCACAGCTCGAAGCCCTGCAGGGGAGGAAGAGCAGCCCCAAAAGTGTCCACCGGCGCCCCAGGAGGGTGCAGTTGGCCCAAGCCTGAGTGGGTCAGGGGAACCACGCCCTTCCTGCAAAGCCCTGAGGCAGGCCAGCACTCCCACTGCACCGATGGGGAAACTGAGGACAGAGAAGGAAGACCAGCACGCACCCCCCCCCCCAGCCCCGTGCAGTTTTGTTGGGTTTCCTACCTCGTGAACCTGGGTCAGGACCTCAGAGAAATCCTCCTCAGTGGGTGGTCCCTAAAAGGGGTGGAGGGGCTCAGGGTCAGTCTCAGCCCCACAATGCTAGCTCCAGGATCTCGAAGGGTCCTACACCTGGCCTCACCCCCTTCCCTCAATTTGATTGCTCCAGCAAACAGACCAGGACTCAGAGCCTGGTCCATTCACCCAGAAGCACATGTTGTGTGGCCAAGTGAAGCAGGATGCCATCCCAGTGAAAGGGGATGGCCTTAAAGCCAAAGGACCTGCCTGACTCAGTGTGAGAGGGGCAGGATCAGAGAAGGCTTCCTGGGGGAGATGACCTCTAAGCCGAAATCTGAAAGTGGTAGAAAGGAGGAGGGTGGTGCTCATAGCAGGAGGAACAGCATTGGTGGCCACCGGAAATGCAGGAGAGCTCAAGTGGTTAAAGTAAATAAGGAAGGGATGGAATGTGAATGTAGCTGGACAGTAGGCCCTTGGACTTGAGCTAGCAGGATCCTGAAGCCATGCTGAGTACTGGGGAGCCATGGAAGACTGTCAGCAGGTGATAAGATTTAGAAGACATCCCTCCCCTCCCCGCCTCAAGCTCCTATACTCTTCTTGGACTTCTAGGTCCTTGTGCCAGGACTCGGTCTGTGGGATGTGGTCACACTGTACATGTGTGTGCACACACACAAACAACACACATGCTCACTCTGGCCCATCCAGCTGCTGAGCTTGCAGTTGGGTGACCCTTTCTGCTGAGCCAGCCTGGCCCCAGCCTGAGCTCCAGGACAGATGGGCCAGGCTGGCAGGGTGGGGGTGGAGTCCCTTCTCAGCCATACACCCTAGCAGAACTAGGAGGGTTTCAGAGACCAAAGAGTATAATTGCCTCACCCATTATACAGATGGAGATGCTGAGGCCCAAAGAAGCAGAGGCCTATCTAGAGTCATAACAAACACCCAGGTCAAGGGGTTCCTCACATCCCCAATACACACTGGACTTCCCTGGCCTCAGCCCCCACCCCAGCATGTCCCTCCCTTCCTACACCAAGCCCCTGATTTCCTCCTTTTATAGCCCTCTCTGATCCCCAATGCTGCAGTATTAGCAGGACAGGGCATCAGCATAGTCTTGCCCTCAGCACCTCAGAGGTGCAGACGGAGATGGGCCACTCACTGTGGTTGGGTGGTCCATGGAGACCTGGGTGGCAGCCCACAGCCCTGCCTGCATCATGCATGTCAGCTGGTGCAGCTCATGCCCCGGGCCAATCTCAAACAGGCCAATGCGAGCCTGCTTGTCTCGGAGACGCCAGAGGAGGCCACGGCGGCCAGAGGTCGAGGTGGCTGCTCTGCATCCAGCCTCTGGGGAGGGGGCCAGGACCTGGTGGCAGGAGGCACAAGAAGCAATGAACACACGGAAGCATCGCAGAGGGGAAAGACTTGGGTTTGAATCCCACCTCCAGTACATGTGAGCCCTCCTATTATCATTCCCTGCCTCAGTTTCCTCAGTTGTAAAACACGGATAATGCTGGTACCCACCTCACTGGGTGTTGTGATGCAGTCAGCACCCAGACTAGAATGATGGTTATTATTACCAGTAGGTAGAGGATGCTTTCCACAGCCAAACCTGTCTCTCACCATCTGTATGATCCTAGGTAAGTCACCTAACCCTTCTGCATCTCCTTTTCTCATCTGTGAAATGAGAACTATAATAACCCCTTGGCATTTTGAGCTCCATGCACAGGAACCCTTGATAGTAGGAGCTGTGACTCATGAGCCAGGGACTCATCTATTCCACTCCTGTATGCGGAGTTCCTCCAGGCCGAGCAGACCTCTGCTCGAAGCTGAGCTCATAGCAGCTGACCCATTAGTAGTGGGCACCCACCATGTACCCAGCACTGGCCAAGAGCTTGACCTGCTAGCAGCCCAATGAAGGAGCTTTTTCCCCGGATAAGAAAACTGAGGAAGTTCTCTGGGGACACCCACCAGACTTCCCCCTCCATACCTGCGGGCCCCGCGTGGGGCGTGTCCTGGTCCCCGCCCAGAGCTGGACCCCTCCTGGCCTTGGATGGGGGTGTGTCCGCGCCGCACGGGTATCGGAGGCCTGGGCCCTGTCCCCCAACCCTTCCCTTTCCTGGGGCCGGAAACCTCTCTTGGGGCCGAACCTACCTCCCGGGGCCCCGGGCTCGGTGCGGCCATCGCCCCCGCAGCAGCTTCCCGGGCTCCAGCCGCGTCCCCGCCGCCGCGCTGCAGGAGCCGGTCCCCGCCCCGGCTTCTGGACCGACCAATAGAGCGGCGCCGGTCACGGCTGCAGCCAATCCGCGCGGGAGGCGCCGGCGATCGCCTGCGGAGCCCGCCCCCGGAGCTGCAGCATCCTTCAGACCGCTGTCCAGGCTGGGGCGGGGCCGCCACGCGGGGCATAGGGTCGCCAGGAGGGAAGACCTCCCCAGTCCGTCTCCTGAAGCGGAGGACTCAGGTCTCGGGGCCGCTTGGGGAGGCGGGAAACCTGAATCGAAATCCCGCCCACCCACTCTGGCGTGAAATTCCCACAGACTGTCCCTCGGGCGAGGAAACTCAGGTCCAGAGAGAGAAGTGAGTACCTCCAGGTCACACAGGAAGGCTGGCGCATGCATTCATTCAGTCTATTTTGATCGCTCACTATGGGCAGGAGCCCTGCTAGGCCCTGGGGATTCAGTGGTGAGTGAGAGGAACACAGCTGCCAGCGTAATCTTTTAAAAGCATAAATCGGATGATGTCACTCTCATGCTTGAAGCCTCCAGTGGCATCCCTCTGCACTAGAACAAAATCCACACCCCTTGCCACGGCCCCAGGCCCATCTCAAACCACCCTGCCTACACCCACCCAACAGCCACAAGGGGATCCCCCACCCCTCCTTAGGCAGAAAATTCTTTCACACCTGGGGCTTTTGCAGGTGCTCTTCCTACTGCTTGAAATCCTTTCCCCTATTCTTTCTTGTCATTCTTTTCACCTTGCTCGACTCTAAGTGTCCCCTCATTCTTGACCACATCACCTTGTGTTATTTTCTTCATCACCGTTAACACTGTCAGAAATTGTCTTGTTCATTATATTCCCCCCCCCCCGGCCCCCACCAGGATGGGAGCACCAGAAGGGCAGGAACCGTGCTGGCTCACTTCTTGGCTCAGTGCCTGGCACAAACCAGTATTTCATAAGTATGTGTCGAGCCACTGTGAGTAGGATGTGCAAAAGGCTTCAGTGAATCCCAGGAAATGAAAGGTAAGGGTAGCTGGAGTGAGAAGTGAACAAAGATACATGTAGGTTCTCTTAGATCATGTAGGGAGGGGGTGGGAACCCAGGCAAGCATTATGTGCAGAAGATGCTCAGATGTTCTTAAAAAGGTCATGGTTGTTATGTATAGTCACACTGGAGGGGCCAGAGTAGGAGGGGGTGAGGAAACTTTTGATGACTTAGGGCAGAGAAGAGTGGCTTTGCATTGGGAAGGTGACTGGTGGGGGAGGGGAGGGAGGAGGGAGAACAGACTGGATTTGGGGTTGTGTGGATGGGCGCTAGGAGGAAGCCAAGGTCAATAATATTGGCCAGGCTTCTGGCTGGGTTTGGGGCCACAGGATGCCAGTCATGGGAGGGGGCAAGGCATGAGGGGAGGAGGAGTCTGGGAATTCAGATCATGACAGTATGAATTGGAGATGCCACTATGACATCCAACGGCAGATAACTGGTGCATGAGCAATATGTTGGGGCTCAGGAGGCGAGCCTGGCTAAGGACAAGTGTGGGGTGGGAAGGCTTGTGACCAAGTCCCAAGGAACCCACCATCTCATGGCAGAAGTGGAACAGGGAGACATGAATTATGAGAATGAGCCTCATAGACACTGAGAGCATCTGAAAGTACATCTGGGGGGATGTCACAGGCCAACATGGGGTCACCAGTGGTCTGAGTGGGTGCAGTCCTCCCAAGTGACGCTGAGGGCGATGAAGGTGAGGAACAGCAGGCAGCAGGTGTGGACACCCTTTTGGGAATTTGGCTATTTGGGGTAGGTGGGGGGGAGACCTGGAGGGAATTACTGGGCTGATGGACAGTCCTTTACGTGGGGGCCTCTAGCATGCTCTTGAAACACAAGAAGGATCCTGGTGAGAGGCAGAGGCTGTCCCTAAGAGAGGGGGACCATCAGACAGGATACCACCGCTACAGCAGGGGGGAGAGGATGGGACAGGTGAGGGCAGGGCAGGTGTGCCTGTGGTTGGCCTCTGCTAACTGAAGTGAATATCATCCCAGGTATGACAGAAGCTTGAACTAGGCACTGAGGACGGGAGACCCAGCTGCATGGGATGAAGGGTGTGGTGGGATTGCTGGGGAGACAGGGCTGGGCCTGTCAGTCAGCCTGACCAGAGTCAGCCCGACCAGAGCCAGCCCTGTTCTGGTTCCCCGAGCTCTCACTGCTCAGAGCCAATGCTAGGTTGGGTTGCTGGGTACAAGAGAAGGACGATGGACTTGAGCTTTTAGGGGGTCCTGAGGATTCCTAAAATACTAATGCACACTAGCTGGGCTGGCACAGGGGAGGCATGGTAGAGACTGTGGTGTGTGGCACATGGCCAGGTCTCTGCCAACTCCCCACCTGTCAGCTACACCAGACTGGAGCCACACCTGTTTCAGTCCCCACTTTATGCCGTGTCCAGTGCGTGGACAATCGGGGAGGTTCCCTCATTGCACAGATCAGAGTCTCCTGACCTGAGACCAGCCCCTCTCCAGCTTCCCAGGTCAGTGATGGCACAGAGACAAACACATCATCAACATTTATTGTTCAGTTCTCCCCCAACTGGCCAGTGCTAGGCCCAAGGGGCTGGGCCTCTATGAGAAGCAGTTGGTCTGGGGGCCTACTATGGCCCCCCCCTAATGTGCCCTGAGGCCTGGTGATAACCCCTGGCCTGTCAGTAAACCCCTTAGGCTTTCCAGGTCCTGAAGTCCTGGTGGGGCCAGGGGCTATGTCAGACCCAGGAAAGCTGCCTCAGAGGAGGAGCAGGACACATGGTGCCTCAGAACCTACCAAGTCCAACATCAGCAGGTGACAGGAGGGAAACTGAAACAAGATAGAACTCAGAGGAAAAGGTGACAGGGAGTCTGAAGGTGAGAGGGAGACAACCAGCATCTTTCAGGCCCTGAACCAGAAAGGGGTAGGAGGGAGGCTTCCCAGTAATCCTCCTTCCTGGCTTCTGGAAAGTTGAGCAGGAAGGAGCAAGCCTATGTGGTAGGTCCTGAACAGCTCCATCCCCGGGATGTCCAAAGGGAGCCCTGGCTTGAGGGAGCCGAGGTGCCTGGATGGGTCCTGTGCACCCCCACCCTTGGAGGGGTGGCAGAGGGGTGCCACAGCCTCAGCCCCACTGGGCCTTCACTGAGCTTTTTTGGTCCCCTTCTGGTTCTTCAGCATCACGTAGGTGATGAACACTCCTGGAATAGACCAGAAAGGCCACGTAAGATCCAGGCTTGGGGCTGCGGGGAGGCCAAAGTGGGCACAGCATGGTGGAGTGACCCATACACAGGGCCAAGCACCTGCGCAACCACCCTCCAGGCCAGGATCACCTCCCTGGTCATTCAGCAAGCCACACATCCACCCACACGTACTCAACAAACATCAATGGAGTGCCCAGCACAGGCAGTTGGCTATGCATAGTGTTTTAGCTTCTACAGGGCATAAGACCCACTTGATTATCCATCTACCCAGCCCATCAACCACCCATCCACCCCTGCCCCCTACCTGCCTTCTCTACATCCACCACCCACCCCACCACCCGGTCATCCGAATGACTCATCCAAACCACTTTCTTCGGCACCAACTCGGTGCCACAGCCTGTGCCAGGAGCTGAGGACATAATAAAGATGATGAAGATACCATCCTGCCCCACAGAAGCGCATACACTAAAGGCTGAGAGACAGAGAGGTACAGGAATCATGAGCCAGTGGGTGACAAAGGGGTGAAAGGTGACTGAGGTGGCCACAGAGTGAAGATGGTGGTAGTGGAGGAAGCAGGAAAAAGGGAGACACCGCATGAGGGCCATCCCATTTGAGACCAATGAGCCAGAAGGCATGGAGAAAATCCAAAGGGCTACTGACTGGCAGCCCGGAAGGAGGAACAGGAAAACCCCAGGGTGTCAGTCGGGGGCCAGGGGCATCAAGCAGGTGTATGGCCGGTGCTGAAGTATGAAAACATGTTCAGAGGTGGGAGAGGGTGGTGTGAACTCCCAGACACACTGTTCAGGGTCGAGGGAGCAATGACTTACCCACAAACAGGAGCAGCAGGAGGCCGGCAGCCAGTGGGATGGCGACAGCATAGGCTCTGGGCAGGAAGTACTTGTGGATGACATGCTGACTGTCGATGAAAGGCTGGTATCGAGGACAGAGCTCTGGTGAGTGTTCCTTGCCTTGCCCAACCTCTCAAGGCCAAACACCCCCCTTCCTCCATCTCAGGGGCTAACCCCTGTCCAAGCACTGGGACAGCACCTACTTTGCTTTAACACGGTGGTATCTGGGGTGCTCTGGTCTGTTTCCTTTACTTGATTATTGAAGTTGTTCACTGCACACTGGCCTGGTGCCTGCCCTACGGTGGTGCTAGGGACCCGGCACTGAACAGAAGATGAGGGGCTTGCCCTGAGGCACTCACCGCCCAACGGGGGCAAAGGTACAGGAGAAATCCTCAAGTGGGCTCCATGGTCTTCTTTACTAACATTTTCCTCCAGAGTTCTGTAAGGTTTTGCCTTCCAAACACACTGCACTTCTTAAGCAATGACCAACAAGTTTTCCCACAAGGAAAAAAAAAGTCCTAAAGGCCCTCACAAAATCCACTGGCACTCATGCCGGAGAGCCAGCAGGATAACCAGAAGGACTACAACTCCAATCAAAGGCAAAAGCGAATCAATAATAGGCTTTACAGAGCAGCAGTAAGCGATCAGTCCTCTCCCTGAGCCTTACTTCGTCATCTACACACCGGACACCCCCAGCCTCGTCCTCATAGTGCTGTGCTGGAGACTAAAGGAAATGAGGCAGGGAAAGCACCTAGCACCGAGCCCGGTCCATAGCAGCTGCTTAAACGATGCCAGGGGTCCGCGCCAGCATCCGGGGGTGGAAGGTGAGGCGGGGGCGGGGCAAGCACACATACCAAGAGAATCACCCAGGCGGTGTAGTAGATGAAGATGATTAGGCTAACGGCGACGAGGCCGAGTCCCACCACCTGGTCTGTCCCCGTGGCCTGGAGAAAAGGAGGGCCCAACTGACGAAGTAACTCCCCATTTGGGTGCACCATGGCGGGGTGGCGTCGCAGCCTGATTGCGCTCTCAGCTTCCCATTCACTCAACAGACGCAGCCCCGATCAGGTATCGCTTTCTAGGCTCGGAGAGCGCCGGGCCACGGCGTTTTCATTCGTACAGGGAGCCGGCGGGACAGCAATCCCGGCTCCGAGCGCCCAAGGCCCCGCTCCCGGGCGGAGCCCACCCGCGCACGCCCCCCGCCCAGAGCTCACCATCTCCCCCACGATCTCACACCCCAGCCGGAAGCCACCGCCCAGATCCGGATCCGGGGCTTTCCGGCCCTGAGCCGCGGGGCACGCCGGGAGTCGTAGTCTGTAGGCGGGCCCGCGACTACGTGTCCCAAGACAGGAGGGTGCCACCACCACCCCCCTTGCATGCCGGAAAATGTAGTTTCCAAAGGCATTGCGGGTCACGCTGTTCTCTGACTTTCCCTAGGGAATAGAGTCGAGGGGGGCGGGGGAGGGGGGACCCAGACTGGCTGGCACTCGTCCCGGAAGCAAAAGCTCATCTCTAAATATCCCAGGATCCCCAAGCCAGAGCGGGATGGCGTGCGAGGTCAGAGGTCCCAGTTTTCAGGTGGGAAGACTGAGGATCAGAGAGGCGTGAAGACTTGCAGATCACAACCCAAGTCAGTGCTGAAGCCGAGACCGGAACCCAGGGGCCCTATTTCTTAGTACGGAGCCTCCAACTTGTTGGTCGAGAGGCGTGCAAAGAGTGATTGTTGCCCCACCTGGAGTGGTTGGAAGAGGGCGTGCCCCACGTCCCCAGGGATGGGAGGATTCCCACTGGCTGTTGGGGGAGCGCCTGGTTACCATTGCCTCGCTTCCCAGGCGGCCGTTCCTGTGTCCTGTCTTCACTGCAGGGATGAGTTCAGGGGACCGTCCCTTTCCTCACCATCCGCCTTTTGGGCCTGGGTGCGCAGCCCAGGCAGCCACACGGACGCCCCGCATACAGGTCCCTCCCCAGTCTGGAACACGGTCTTCCCACAGCTCGCGGAGCTGGCTGCTGCTCCTCCCCCATCAGGTCTCACCGAGATGCCACACCCCTTAGGGAAGCCCCTCACAGCTGGGCAGGGCTCCCCTCCTCTGTGCTCCACAGCCCCCAGTGTGCCCCTGATAATGCTTGTCATCATCAGGTTTTGGTTAGCTCATTTACTTGTTGATCTGCCTGACCATGAGCTCTGTGGGGAGGTCTGCAGTCACTGCTGTAGCCCTAGTGCCCAGAATTGGGGGTACAGGGGTGGGGGGAAGGAGGGGCAGATTGGCACACTTGGAGATGCCTCAGAACCTAGCATGGTTTGCTCCTGCCAGCAGCATGTCTCCTTGGGTCACCTGAGCCCGTCTTTATCGGGACTGCACTCTTCAAAGCTGACAGAACAACTCTTCTTGGCCTGCAGCCTAGAGCCTTCCCTTTTCATCTCAGGACTGACTTTGGGCTCAGCCAGGAGCCAACTTTCCCCTCCCCAGGTGTGCACTGTAGAACAGGAGACCCGGGCAGCCCCGGTGGCGCAGCGGTTTAGCGCCGCTTGCAGCCCAGGGCATGATCCTGGAGACCCTGGATCGAGTCCCACGTCAGGCTCCCTGCATGGAGCCTGCTTCTCTGCCTCTCTCTCTCTCTCTGTGTGTGTCTCTATGAATAAATAGTCTTAAAAAAAAAAAAAAAGAACAAGAGATTCAAAGGGTTTAAAGGGGCCATGAATGGGTGTCAGCTCCAAGAAGGGGTGCGGACAGGGAGGAGCTGCAGCAGGAAGGAGACCTGGTGGTTTGGTCCCTTCTGGCCTGTCCACAGCCACTGAAGCTTCCTGCCACTTCTGAGCTAATTAAAGGCCAGGGTGACTTGCCTTTCTCAGAACTTGGCTAAGTTGCTGGCTCCCCATAACTTGAGAGTGTCAGGGCAGAAAGTGAGGGCTTAGTTAGGCATGGAGACACTTGCAGCCTGGGGCTTGAGAGAAGTTGGGAACAAAGTCAGCACCCCTAGGTCAGGCCGTATACCCACTTCCTTCTTTCAACCACAGGCCCATTTATAGCCGAGGAATGGAGGTGCAGACAGTTATTTGTCTCAGGCTGGCTGCTGGGAAGGTCCAGCAGTTGGAACTTGTGCACTGAGACGGCTTAGTAGGTGTGAGACTGGCAAGAAATCTCCTTTCTGGGTCTGTTTCCTCCTCCGGGAACCTGAACAATGAAGGTGGTAATGACTGATGACAGCCAGGACAGGGAGGACCCTGGCCACTTACATCTTCCCCCATTCCCGGATATCAACCCACACATGTGGCTTTCTTCTGATGCTGACAGAAAGATAAACAAACAAAACCCAATGTGCCGTAACAACCAAAAACTGCAACATTTAATTTTTCCCCCCAAACCAAGACACTGACACTAGGCTGATTTCCACTTACAATGTGAATTTCTACAACGGAAGCCAGGACAGAGATATAAACACAGCCCTCTAAATAAGAGTGGTGGTGGTGGCAACATTCTATTAGAAATGAGGGTTTTTTTTTTTTAAAGGCCAAAAAAAAAAAAAAAAAAACAAAAACAAACCCAAAGGTACCCCCACCCCCACCCATTTCCCAGTTCAACTCCCTAAGAGAGAGGAGAACATGGCAGATCTCCATCCCGATAGATCACACCATACGGTCAGTTTGGGGTGACCAGGAAAAAAAAAAGTAACCTAAAAATATCGTAGACTTTTATTTTCTTTAAATCTCCTAGTAAAAACGTTAAACTGTCTTTCAAGAAGATTCCAAACTGGCATTGCATAGACTGATTCCTTTCCAAAAATATCTCTAATATAGTCTATCTTTCTCTATATATAGAATTTTAAGTCCAGGAGCTGTGGGAGCCTGGAGGGAATTCACTGAGCTTGAGGGGACCCAGATGTCGAAGAAGGGGATCCCACATGGGGATGAGGCTGTGAAGCTCCAGGCCTCTGGCTCCAGCTAGTGTTCATTTGGATGTGGCCAAATTCTCAGTCCAATTACCCTGGTCTGGGGCCTGGCAGGGCAGGATGCAGCAGGCTCTGTCTTCTTCTGGGGTGATGGTCGAGCCCAGACCTCGCTTAGGATGGGGCTGGGGCTCCTGATTTGGGGGACTACCCAACAGCACCAGAGCTAGCTGTTTTAAGCATGAAGCCCAGAACTCTGAGCCAGATCCCAAATATACCCTGAATGTGCTTCCCCCCTGTGCTGAAGTCATGCAGGAAGGAGAGTGCTCTCCCATCTTCTGGGGGGTCACTTCATCTGGAGACAGCACAGTCAGTTCCCCTTTTAAAGTGCCAGGTGTCTGCAGGGCAGGAAGGGACGTGCAGGGCTAACCAGAGCCTTCTCCAACCAGAGCAAATGCTCCATCCTGTCTCAGCAGGCAGCTCCTCACATTCATTTTCTGAGAGTTAGGGGATTAAAAACAACAAAGAATTCTAGAAATGCTCTGCTCCCAAGGCCAGGAGGTTCCAAGACAAAGGAACCCCCAGGACAAAGCGGGTCCCCCAGGACATAGGGAAGGGACAGCTGAAGCACTAAATGCTCCAACTCTTGCCAGCTGGAGCATAAGGCAAGGAGCCCTCCCAGCCTGGGGAGGACACCCCACTGGTGCCCATACCCCTACCAGGGAGAGAACCGGTCCCTCAATCCAGATCCTCAGCCCTGCTGGGACCCAGCCAGCAGGTAGGGCAGAGAACAGAACCACCTCCCCTCACCTGGGGGAGGAGAAGATACCAAACTGAATTTTTAAAAAAAGGGGGGGGGGGAGAAAAAAGAAAAAAAAAAGGAGAAATGTTTTTTAAAAAGAAAAAAGTTACAGGATTAGGTAAACACCAGCCTGCTGGGTTCACACAAAATGAGTGAAATTTCAGAGTGGCAGGGAAGTCTGTCCAGGGACCGGCTGGCAGCCAGAACCCACCTTCAAGCAAGTAAGGAAGACAGGACAGGGGGCGGTATAGACAGCAGAGGCCTTACTTAGTGAGAGGTGGGGGGCAGGGCCAGACTGCTCCCTGCCTCTCCCTCGCCCAGAGAGAGGGATGCTTCCAGAGGAGGGCTGAGGCTTTTCTGGCCAGGAAGCCAGCTCCAGGCTGGTCCAGTCACAGTCCACCTGCCTTTCCAGCATCAGCCCCAGCCTGGGCTAGCCGACCCTGCAGGGACAGAGAAGGGGCTTTTGCTTGCCAAGTCCAGCCCACCAGCCTGACTGCTGACCTCTGAGGGTTTGGGAGGCACCTTTTCTGGCTTCCTACAGAAAACCAGCTGCTCAGGATCCAGCCCTGAGCAGAGGAGAGCCACCATCAATGCTCAGACCATTCTCAGCAGGGGGGTCAGGCCTGAGCTGGAGCAAAGTGGGGGGGAGAGGCAGTGCCACGTTCCAGACGGGCTGCCAGGGGTAGGCACTGACCGCACAGCAAGCAGTGCCCAGAAACCCTTGTGAAGGGCTCAAGGGAAAGGCAGACAAGGGCCAGTGGGGCTGTGCTGGAGGCAAGCATGTGCAAAGTGCAGGCTGCCAGGGCAGCAGGAGAACATTCGTTGGGGTGGGAGTCTCAGTCTGGAGTGTGGATGGGTCTGAGGTCTTGGTTCCCAGGAGAAGGCCGCCAGCGGGTCCCCCAGGACACAGGGAAGGGACAGCTGAAGCACTAAAGCAGTCAGAGGGCCATGGTGGCAGGATTCAGGGGTGGACTGGCCCTCCCAAGGGCAAGGGGGCAATAGAGCAAGGCCCGGCCAGGGCATGGCTAAGCTGATGCTCCCGGAATGAGCAGGGACACAGGGCCAGGGGCCCCTTAGCCACAGGCATCCCTGCAGGTGGGTGCCGCTGCATGTCCTCGCGGAGGGGCCAAAACTGGTCTCCAGCGGGGCAGTCCTGGCCATCTTTGTCTTGTCCACCTGCTTCACGGACCTGCACCTCCTGCCCCCTAGTGGTTCAAAGGAGAATATTCACAGTGGTGCCGGGGGCCTGGTGGGCCAGGAGGGTCCCGGTATGGATGGGAGGACAATGGAATGATGCTTTGGGGCAGGAGTGGGGCTGGAGTGCATGGAGGAGGCACAGATAAGATGTGGTGCGGATGGCGATCCGAAGGGGAAGGTCCCTCGTGGAATGATGCGGGCCTGGATGCCCGCAAAGGCAGGGCCCTTCTCCAGCCTGGACACCCGCTCCTCAATGGCTTTCAATCACAACAGGCTCATAGACCCCAGAGGAGACCCTGCAGGGTAGGGGAGAAGAGAAACAGGTCAGCCTGTCCTCCTAGATGCCCTTCTGGGGCAGGCCCTTAGAACTACTGCACAAGTTGGCACTGTGAACTAACCCGCCCTGTTTCACAGAGAGGTAAATTGAGGCTCAGAGAAGTTGAGTTACTCACCTAACACAACAGAGACATTACATATGGAAGTCTGTGGGATTTCAGAGCTGCTATGAGCTGTGCCTCACCCATCCTCATGGCAACCCTGGCAGGCAAAGACTGCCTGCTGCCCCATTTGACAGATGAAGAAACTGAAGCAGAGAGGGATTACGAAGTTTGCCAAGAGGACAGAAGGCCGGGGAGCCTTACTGGCTCTTCTCTCTCCTGAAGCCAGGCCCACCCACAGGGTCACGGACATTCAGGGCTGGTGGGCAGCTCTGCTAAGACCTTGCTCCTGATTAAACTGGTTTCTTCCATCCTCTGAAATCGTTTCCTCACTGCCAGAGGGGGCTAGGGAGGGGTTTGTAAACCTCCAAGGAGGTGCCTTTTGTTTTACCATTGCCCACCTCACTGGAACAGCCCAGGAAGCCACCTGGGGACGGCAGCTGCAATTCTGAGCCTCGGCCAGCAGGTGTCAGCATAGCAGCACCAGAGGGAAGGTCGGGGACCCTGCGCAGCCCTGCCAGGTCTCCATCTTCCCCTCCCCAACCTTGATGTTAATTAAATGAGCACCTTCCTGGCCAGCCCCCGGAAACAGGGGATAAGGCTTCAGTTAGCATAGCCCTGCACATGGGGAGCTCCTCTACTCATTCACTCATTCCTTCAGTGAACCAGTAAACACGGTACAAATAAATGATCCCAAGAAGACTCTCTACAAACTGTAGTTGAAGCACCACATTGGGCCTGCCACTCCCTCATATGTAAACATCATGCAGGCACAGATCTGTGGTGCCCACTGCTGTATTCCCAGCACCTAGCTCAGTGCTTTGCTTGGTGTGTGGCTCATGCTCAATATTAACTTGATAAATGGGTCATCATCATCATTTTTAAGGGTTCCCAGATCCAGAAGGAAGGGAAAAGCAAGATCCAAAATAAAGACAGCTACAGCCTCTGCTGTGTGCCAAGCCCTGCACTAGGCACTGCCCAAGGCTACCCTTGGAACCCTCAGAACCAACACCAGGGTGCTGTCCCAGGTTTCTAGGTGAGATGTGATGGTCCAGGCCATTTGACAAATAGGAAAAATGAGGTTAAGAGAGAAGTGAGCGGTCCATGGTGACACTGTGGTGGTAAGAACTGCTATTCAAAACCAGGTGATGGGGGACACCTGGGTGGCTCAGCGGTTTAGTGCCTTCCCTCAGCCCAGGGTGTGATCCTGGAGTCCTAGGATCGAGTCTCACATTGGAATCCCTGCATGGAGCCTACTTCTCCCTCTGCCTGTCTCTTGCCCCCCCCCCCTAATAAATAAATAAAATCTTTAAAAACAAAAAGAACAAAGCCATGTGAGTGTCTATAGAGACCGTGCTCTCACCATTGTGCCCCCAGTAGCCACCCTAGTGACCCATCCCTGAGCTGTGACTCCTAGCTGTGACTCCTACCTGTTGGCCAGCTGGATGCCACTCAGCGTGGTGGATCCATCACGGCTCACGAACAGCCGGAGATTGCTGTCTGTGGGGACACAGGGAAGGATGGAGGCTGAGTGAAGCAGGAGCAGCTGGGGAAGCCCTGAAGCAGGCGGCATAGTCTCCCAGTCCTCCCCACGTGGGCAGCTCACCCTCAGTGTTGCTGCCATCTGTAAAGTCCTGGCTTTGCATGATCTTCTCCACGATGTCATCTGCGTCGATCCGAGTGTCATCCACCCAGGTCGGGTGGCTCTCCACAGAGTCCTTCTTCCGCCTGGGGTGGGGCAGGGCAGAGTCACAGCAGTCCAGCCAGTGATAGGCATGAGGATGACAGTGGTGGGCACCTACAGGACTCAGGCTGCTCTGAGGGCACCCAAGAACTCATTCCCAGGTGTGGTCATCTAGCCCTCCCCTCAGTACCCAGGGTAGGGGCCATGGCCTCGTTTTATGGATGAGGATCTAGAGACCCTGAGAAGTTACCTAACCTTAGCCTCTGAGAGGCCACACAGTGTAAACAGGGGCCCTAGGTCACTAAGTCATGTACAACAGCATTTGCCTGCCAGGCCCAGGCTGTGCCCTGTATGTGCATCCACCAGCTGAATTGTCACCAGCCAACCCTCTGAAGTGGGACCCTGCTGTTTCCATGCTATAGGTAAAGAAGCAGAAGTTCGAGGTGCCCCCAAGAAGGGTTTATTCTCCAGGACCATTGGGGAGTGGTACTTACCGAAATGAACGGTCAGACAGATGGGGCCGTGGCGGCCGTGGTGGCTTTTCAGGGGGCCGGTGCTCACGCTCACTGCCCTCAGGGGCCTCCACAGTCACACTGAGGCCACCAGAGGCACTGCTGCTGGTGGACGTATTGCGGCGGTGCGTCAAGTCTGAGAGGCTAGAGGAGCGCGAGTGTTCCGTGCTGTAGCCTGATGAGCATTTGGGGAGGCTTGTTATGGGGGCATCGGCCAGAAATGTGAAAGACCTGGGCATGGGGCCAGGCAGGCACTCACCAGAGATCTTGGACTGCTGGCTGGCATAGCTGGAGTTGCGGGAGTGGCCAGAATGGAACACCTCCTCAGGGCTGGACAGGTTCTGTTCAGGCTCCTCTGGGACCCCTGGAAAGCAGGGAGAGGGCAGGCTTACTGGCAGTGTCAGCCCTTGCCAACTGCACGTGTCCTTTCTGGGAGCTGGCGGGAGTGAGGGGTAGGGGAGGTGCACTGCGTGTTTCCCATTTAACAGACAAAAACAGAGGTCCTGCTCCCACCACAGTCACCCCGGGGGCCCAGTCCGGTTCACTCCACAAATATCTGTGAGGACCTTCTCTGCACACGGCACCCCACTGCTGCTGTAAATAGGAGATGAAGTGCCACAGGCCAGTGGGAAGGGAGAATGTTGGAAAAAAAAAAAAAAGATCCACCATTAACCACAACTGAGGTGAGTGGTACAGAGCAGGGAGCAGTGTGTATGGGGGTTTGACCTGGTCTGGGATCAGGGAAAACTTCTCTGAAGGTGGCCTTAATGGGAGGCCTTCAGGAGGCATGGGAGGGAACAAGCCACAGAAACCTTCAGAAAAACAGGTTTCCAGACAGAGGAACAGTGAAGCAAAGGCCCTGAGGCTTGGATGAGCTTAGGTCAGTGTGGCTGGAGTGAGACAATAAGGGGAATGAGGAGTGGCCAACAGTCTGGTCCCAAGTCACCCATAAGCCCAACTTCGAAACAAACTTTCTGGCACTCACCAGAAGGAGGCGCAAGAGACCCAGGTGGGATCCACTCTGGGCTCCTTGAGTGCCTGCCCACCAGGTTCTGCTCAGAGGAAGGAATAACCCATCTCATCCATGCCCCTCCTTGGAGAAGAGCCCACCAGGCCTTAGGCTGGACCCCAGGCCTGCCTGGGTCCCTACCCAAAGCCACAGGGTTTCTCAAGACAGGTGCTCTGCAGATGGGTGGTTGCAGGAGGGGAAGGGTAGAAAATCAGCTACAGAAGCATATAGGGGGCTCAAGCCCTACCCTGCCTGGGAGACCCACCCCCCAGAAGCTAAAGAGAGCAGTGGTGTTGGCATTGGGAAGTCCTTGTTTTAGCGAGCAGTCACCAGGCTGAGGCAGGCCTGAACCCCAGCTTTCAGCTGTGGGTCTTCCCTGGCTGAGTCTACAGGAAGAATGGGAGTGGAAGAAAGCTAGCCCTTGAGGTCAGTCAGGCCCTCACTGCTCCCAGCAGTCCTGGGGGCAGAATCACTCCACAAACATCCGCTGAGCCACCCAAGGCCCTGCGCCCTCTCTAATTGCTCTTGTGGTGCAAATTAGGGTAGCAGGTGCTGCCCTGCTCCCTAATCAGCTTGGGGGCAGTCTGCCTCCCAGAGGCGAGTTCACCCCCAGGGGCAGAGTACCAGGGGGCCCCTACTTTGCCATGTACAGCACCAGACATGAGGTGGCAAGGGAAGCTGGAACCTTCTCACGTAGCACCTCCTCATCCTAATCACCATGCTGTCTCCTCTGGATATTCAGACGTTTGCATTTTTTATAGCATTAGTAATCATAACAATTAAGTAGAAACCCAGAGCTGGGAAATGCACAGAGTACATACTATGTGCCAGGCATCAGCTCATTTCCAAAGCAACCCAGGTTGTAGTTACTAATGCTGACACAATTAGCCAGCGGAGGGTGCTGAGATCGGACTGGCAAAATGGCCAGGCCTGGTGACGCAAGTAGGAGAGCAAGAGCTCATGGCACATCCCTCTGCCAGGAACACTGCCCCCCACACCTCAGATTCAGCGCAAATGTCACCTTTTCAGAGGGGCTTCCTTGGTTGTTTTCAGGCAGATGCTTTCCGTGCCTGTCACAGCTCTTGTCACTCTTTAAGTCCTTGTCACTCTTTAGGTGACACTGACTTATTTCTTGTCTGACTCCTGTCTCTCCTGCAAGACGGGGCCTCCCTGCTGTGATCCCAGGGCCCAGCACTGGGAAGGGTTCAGTCATGGGCCTGATGGAAGGGCATAAACACCCTCCCACCACCTCTGTCTTCTCAGCAAGTGTCCCTCTTGGGACCTGGAGATACAGAGATGAGCCCTAGGTCACAGGGAAGGACAGGGAAGGCAGGTGGGGAACGGTACCTGAGCCAAGGATGGTGGGCCTCGCCTTGGGGGGCCGGGACCCTGTGAGGGAGTTGGTGCCATTGTTGGTCCCACCACCCTTGCGCGTCAGCTGCAGGGAGGAGTCCTGGCCTGGGATGGAGATGGACTTGGCAGTGGATGGTGGCCTGGGGAGAACAGATGGCTGTGACTGGGGTGCCCCACATTCGGGGTCAAAGACAGGGGAGCCCAAAAGCCCAGAGGAGGGAAGAGTCCCTGTGTAACACTCCCTCAGCCTGCACCACACTCACGTCTTGAAGCAGGGGTCTCCGGATAGCAGGAGCATTCCAATGGTGACCTGCACAGAGGGAGAAATCAGCCATACCACTCTGTGACCCAGGTGTTCCCCTGTGGCCCCTCTGCTGTGGCTCCAGACGGGCTGGGGCTGGACTCTGAGCCCATCTCTGCCCCTTGCTGGACCTGGTGAAGCCACCGAAATGCATTGAGCCCGTTTCCTTGGGCGGAGGATAGAATTAATCCTGACACCTCCTGGGATGGGTAGAGAGGACTGGGGGAGATGAGGCTTTGCACAGTTCAGCACCTGGCACAGAGCACAAGCAGAAAAAGCTAGCAACTCTTATTCCAGAACTGCAATTAGGAGAGGGGCCACGGTTCCTTCTCCAGCCTCTGGACCTACTCATATCATCGCAGGCAGGCGGGAGGCTCCCGGAGGCCACCTGGTGGGGAGGAGGTACACAGAGTCCAACATGTAGGGCAGAGGCTTGGTAACAAGTTTGTTGAGTGAAACAGGAAGTCGTCAGAAATTCAATGTCCACCTGGGCAGAGATTTGGGCAATGGCCCAAACAAGGCAAGGTTGGGACCCCAAATCTGGGCTGAGATAGAGCAACAGGAAAAGGGTGATGGGATAGGAAATGGGTACTCCTATCACTGACAAAAATGGAGATTACTGGGCTGAGATTTTTTTTTTTTTAATTTTATGTAAGAGAGATCGAGAAAGAATGTGCACGAGCAGGGGAGGGTAGAGGGACAGGGAGAGAGAATCTCAAGCAGACTGCACACCCAAGGTGGAGCCTGACATGGGATTCAATTCCACAACCCTGAGATCATGACTTGGGCCAAAACCAAGAGTCTAACACTTTACTGAGCCACCCAGGTGCCCTCACTCTTTTTTGATAAATAAATTCTACACCCCTGTGGAGCCTGGTGCTCCCTGAGGCTTTTTTCTTTTTTTAAATAAACTATTTCATTTGACTGTGATAGCTTATAAGTAGGTGATGGCCCCAGGGTGTACACAAGGGAAGCAAGCGCTCAGATACAGACTCAAGGGGAGTGAGGGCCCACAGACCCACAGACAGGACGTGGGGAAGCTGTCCTTGAAACTGAGGCCACCTGCGCCCCCCTCACACCTCCTGATTTGCCTAAGGATGCACAGGGCCACTGGGGTGAGAATGAAAGGCCCTAGCCCCCACCAAAACTAGCCTAGACCTTTCTGGGTACCTCTGGTTCCCTCTGCAAAGGGTCCAGGAAGTTGCAGAGCCCCTGTCCACCACCTGCAGCCTGGCTCTACTTCCGACACAACACGTTCCCATTGGGTCAACTACTCATAGAGGTGTGGTTAGGACAAGACTGTTTTCTCAGCCAAGTGGAAGGCTGGGGGAAGAGGAAGAGAGGTGTGCTGGCAGCGGCAGATGCCCAGATAGCTCTGTCCTGAGAAGCCAGAGAGTCAGCTGCCTGGAGGGAGGGAGCTGCCCCAGCCACTGGAAACCTGAATGTAGCTGGGCTCTAGAAGCAGCCACCCTCAGTTTGCCCAGGTCAAGAGATGGCAGGTTCTCCCACTCACAGATCAGGCAGCCTCATGTCACACAGGGCAATGGTTGGGAGCTGGACTGTGGAGTCAAATAGCTGGCGGTCATCTCTGCCTGTGACCCCAGGCAAATGATCTATCTAACCTCTGTGCCTCAACCCCCTCCCATGCAAAACCGGGCCCCACACCCCATAGGGCTGTTGTCAGGCATCATGAGCAGAGAGGTGGCAAGCGCTCAGGGATGTTCATCTCACCAAACCCTTACAGAGACTGCTGGGATCCACTGCTGATCCCTGATTAAAGATGGGGAAACTGAGGCCAGTGGCAGAGCCAGAGTTCTGAGGGTAGCTTCCTGACCCCAGGACCACACCTTCCCAAAGTCTGGGACAGGGACCTGTATTTTTAGCCACCCTCCAGGGGACTCTGCTGAGGAGGTCTGCCCCCGCCCTTGGTGGCGGGCCCTGGTACCTTGAGGATGGAATTGTCCTGACGAGTGTTTTTCGTGTCGTATCCCTCCAGCAGGCAGCAGCGCACCGTGGAGCCTGAGCCTGCGAATTCGGCCAGGTTCAAGTCGGCAAAGCCCAGCTGGGAAGGACAGAGGAGAATGTGGGAGGCTGCAGGGGGTGTGGGTGTGCAGCGCGGCTGCGCAAGGGTTAACTTGGGGGAGTGGGCAGGCAGATCCCTGGACTGCCCACAGCCCAGGCTGAGTGTTGCATAATGGCACCCAAGGACAGAGGCTGGTCTGGAGCTCATATCCCTGAGCCGCACAAAGCGCCCTTTGTGCCACATCCCGGCGTGCACTGGGGCAGCGCCTGAGATGAAAGGACATTGTTGCCTGTCACACAGAGGCATTGTTCCCTGGGAAACAAGGCTGTGCTGTGGGAGCCGCCAGGCCAGCGGGCAGGGGGGCGGGAAGCCCCGTGGGAACTTGGTATGGGGGAGGGGGCAGGCAGGAGTCCCTCCCAGAGGATGGAATGAGGGGCTGGGGGAAACACCTGGCTGCTCCTGGGACACAGGGTGAGGCGCCAGGGGCATGGAGGGAAGAGGGAGAACATTCAAGAACAGGGTGTAGGAGTGGGGAAGATCTTCTGTGGAAGTCATGTCTCCAGACCTGGGTAGGGGGGGAAACTGGGTTAAGGTGGGGGCATGCTGGGATTAGGGACTTGGGGGACAACCAAACCAACAGGTGGCATTTATTGAGCACCTATTGCATGCAAGTCTCTACTGTAGAGTTTAGAGATGTACAAGCCAGAATCAGAGACTTGGGAGGTTCACATCCCAGCCCTGTCATCAAGTCAGAGAGACCCCCATTTGGCAGGGAACGGAACTAAGGTTCTGGGGGGTAAGTGATGTGCCCAGGGTCTCATCCAGCCCAGCTAGCAGAGCCAGGCCTGAGACCAGGACCAACCAGCTCCAGTCCAGTCCCTCTGGGGCCCAGCTTCCTTCCTTGGAGAATGCGAGCAGGGCCTGTCAAGGGCGTTTGACTACAGGACAGAAGGGAAGGGCCTGCAGGTCTGACATGTGCTGGGTGCCTGGTGAGTGTCTGCTGCATGAAAGTGGGAGGTTGCAGCTGTCGGCGCCCACATGACTTAACGGGAGGAGAAATTTCCACTGTGGTGGCACCTTCCACAGCCCAGTTCTAGCCACCCTGCCCTCCGTTTCTGCAAAAGGCCACCAGTGCCCCGGCCGGGGTAGAGTGCATGGTCCAAAACACGGAGCTTCCTGAGCTCCGGTCAGTGGGAAGGGACACGCCTTTCACGCAGGGCGAGGTGAGGTAAAGGCATTTCCCCTCTGGACGGACTAAGCCCACCGTCTGCCACCAGGCCACCTCCCAAGAGCCACGGACAGTGGGCTGTGACTCCCCACTAAGAAAGAGGTCCAGGCCAGAACAGGCTAAAGCCAGAGGCAACCCTGGCAGAGCCGCTTTCTCCTGCTGGTCACAGTAGGTGCCATGCAGATGGCAACAACACAAATGTGCCACAGCGGGGACTGGTTGGGTACCCACCACCCAGCCGTACAGGGGGCCACTGCCAGCAAGAGAGTAATTCATGAAAATATGCCCACAGCATACTGGCAAATGAAAACCACGCTGCAGAATTTGTTTAGAACAAGTCCCTTTTGTGTCTTTAAAAATCCTACCGTCTGCATGCACACGAGTACACACCCGGAGTGCTCATTTTGCATTCCTCTAAACTGCATGCACATGTGTTTTACTCGCTGCTTTGTGTGTACATTTCATAATTTTCTTTTTCTTAAAAGATCTGGGAAGACCTTAACAAATCCAAGAATGGGGTCTGGGGAGAAAGAGTGCAGAGGAAGGGGATGGAAACAGCCCTCTTCAGTCTGGACTTTTGTACCATTTGTGCTATAACAAAGCATGTGGCAGCTTTGTATTGAGTACAAAGACTATATTGATAGTTAATTTCAATAAAGATATTTCCAAAAAATAATATATCTCATGCAGCGCTGAGTGTCTCCTGCTTTGTGCAGAGAGGGTCTGGAAATTCTCTCACGCCTGTTCCATCCCACTGTCCCTTCACAGCCCCACTCACCTTAGAATAAGCCTTCCCGCCTTTCAGCTCCTGCAGAGAGACACACAGAAGCAGCAGTGTGACTAGGGAATCCAAGGGACCTCCTGCATTGCCCCAGCCTCCCCACTCCACTGCAACCAATCTGACCACTGCGGGGGGGGGGGGGTCAAGCAAAGTAGCAGAGGGACCCACTCCTTGCTCTCTGGAGGGGACAGGTCAGGGGATGGATCTAAAGCCACTGGTTTAGTGGCCTCACACCCCCGCGTTGGCCATGGACTCCCAGCCCCCAGCCCCAGCCCCGAGGCCCAGCCTCACCTTGCGCACCGACACACGGAAGATGCAAGGGTCCAGCAGGCCAGTGGCTGGGTTGGCACTCATCTTACACACAAAGGTGAACCTCTTCCGCCACCGCACGCAGTTCTCCTGCACTTCCTCCCTGCAGGGCAGACACACAGGTGAGCACAAGCACGCAGGTCGAAGCAGGTATCAGGGACAGGGCTGGCCTTTAGGGAGGGGACGGAAGGAGGAGAGGAGCTCTCACTTTTTACTTTGTATCACAAAGTGACTGTATTTTCATAACAGGAACAAGCTTGTGTTGAGTGTTATAAAAAGAAAAAAATTAAATAATACAAAATGGAAAAACAACAAGGTAGGGGTGAGGTCAAGCAGGGGGCAGCTACTACTTCCCCCTACTTTCAGTGCTGCTCCCACCCCTTGTTCTGTGGTTTTGGAGGGCTCCTTCCTCTGCCATTATCTCCCACCAGCCCCTGGCCATTCAATGGACCCTCATCACAGTCCTTCCAAACTGGCCCAAGAGCCCATTTTACAGGTGAAAAGTGAAGTAAATCGCCAGTGTCACCCAGTCAGGAAACAGCTGGCATCCGCTCAGTGCTGCCTGGCTTCAGAGACCCCTTCTTCACCACTAACAATAACAACAACAGTAGTAGTAACAATAACAGCATTTCAGGCTGGTATCATGCTTCCCCTGTGCCAGACAGCACTCACAGCACTTTAATGGAGCTGATCCAAGGGCCAGAGACTCATGATCATGCCAACCCTTCTAGCAACTGCCTGGGACAGCTACTACCATTAAGCCAATTCCTCATTCACAGAAACCGGGAATTGGGGGGCCAAGACCCTGGCCTGAGGCCCACCACGTGCACAGCAGAACAGGGACTTGGACCTGAGCAGTAGGCTCCCGATAGCACATCCTTCACTTACACCATATCAGCCTGTGACACCAACCTGGAGTCCTTGGCTTCCCTGACGCTAAATGGGGAGCTGGTCTTCAGCCCAAATCCTTCTGTACCTGGGGGTATTACCACACTGAAAAATCCAGCACCCCCTTAATAAGGAAATGCTTTGTGTCCTGGGAGTGAGTGGAACCTCGGGGAGCACTCATCCTGTCTCTCCCAGCTGCTCAGCAGGCTCTGGGGTGGCAGGGGCAAGCTCCATGGCCCAGCACAGCTCCCTGTCCTCCCCACAGTCTGCCTGGCAGAGTCTGTGCTCAGGAAGGGTGGCCACGGAAGGGAAGGGAAGGCATGGAGTGAGAGACATTATCTCTGTCCCATCATCCCATCTAACAGGAATGGCCATGTTGGACAGCTGAGGAAGTGACTACTCCACACCCCGGGAACCCCAGGATCACAGGTTAACTGCCAGACTAGGCCTCAGGGTAGAGGGTCCGCACAAGTGGAGTATTATCTGAACATGGGTGTGTTCGCTTCTCACATAAACTCCAACAGTAGGCTCTATACCACCCTCTTTGACAGCTGAGGGTACTGAGGTGCCAAGAGACTGCCCCAGATCACATCCCCAGTGACTGGCAATCCCAGATTTGAACCCAGGACCGTCTGACTAGTCAATGTGTTCAGCCATCACCTTGGTTCACAGGTCAGAGCCTGGAAAAGCCCGGCAGGCAGAATTCGCCAGGGTTTCCCGGCCAGCAGCCCTGCTCTGTACTCAAGAAACATACCCACGTCTCCCAGTGCCAAGTACGCATCAGGCCCTAAGCTCTGCAGGGGACCGTATTCACAGATCAATACTGACAGTTAACCAACGATGACTCAGTGTCACCAGGAGAGGGTGGAGGGAGGGGTGAGTCAGAGTAGGTGACTGGCCGCAGGGAGGTGACATTCAAGCTCAAACGGAATGAAAAGAGGGGTGTAGCCAGTAAGGGAGACAAGTTCCAGGCAGAGGAAACAGCCTGAGTGAGGAACAAATATTCTTTTGGTTTCCTTGGCCTCGCCTCCCCTGCACTGAGCGTCTTCAAGGAGCCCCCTCGTGGCTCCACAAGGCTTCTCCCACATTCTGCCAGGGCCGGGACAAGGGGGCAACAGGACTCAGGTCAGGCAGACCTGGACTCCAAGCCCTCAAATCGCTGAATGACTCAGCCAGGGCTTGACCTCTCTACCCTCATGGGTAGAACAGGAACACCACCCACTCGTTTTTGGGCACCCAGGAGCATCAGCAAGACCCTCAGGGGAAGGTCCATGAGACGTGTCTTGACTGATGAAGACACTGGGGACTCCAGCAACTCCCTGCAGCCCCAAGACTGGGGACAAGCGGAAATGTGAGGACCAGACGTGAGGGGGGAAGAAGAGTGCCCGACCCCTGGCAGACATGGATGGGGACCCTGTCGGAAGCAGGTGTCACAGGAGAAGCAGCAGCCTGGGCTGGGGAGCATCACCTGACCGAACCGCGCTGGTTCCACCTGTTCATTCAAACATGTGCCGGTCCCTATACTATGCACTGGGACCAGAGCAGTAACCAACTTCCATTGTGGTGGGAGAAGAATGAGGTCAAGCAAACAAGAAAAGTAATGGAAGGGAGAACTAGAATTCTCTCTACTGGCAGAGACTCTGATCTCGTATGTAGAAAATCACAAAGAATCCACTAATAACTATCAGAATACACGAATTTGGCAAGGCTTCAGGATACAAGATCAATATACAAAAATCAGTTATTTCTATGTCCCGGTGAACATCCACAATGAAATGAAGGAAATAAGTCAATTCACAACAGCATCAGAAAGAATAAAATAAATAGGATTACATTTAAAAAAAGAACTACAAAATATATATTCTGGAAAACTACAAAACATTACTGAAAGAAATTCAAAAAGATCTAAGTAGATGGAAAGACATTCCATTAGATCTTCAGGTTTCCAAAGATCTAATGCTGGTATGACAATAATCCCAAATTGAATCTAAAAACTCAATATGATCTCAGCTGGCTTCTTTGCAGAAATTTGACAAATTGATCCTCAACCTTGGAAATAAGAGAGACCAGGATAGTCAAAGCATCTAGAAAAGTAGAATAGAATATAATTAAAGATTCACATGTCTTTGACTACAAAACTTCTACAAAGCTTAATCAAGCTTATAATCAAGAAAGTATGGTTCTGGCATAAGGACAGACACATAGATCATTGGAATGGGATTATGAGTTCAGAAAAAAATCGACTGAATAGAGTCGACTGATTTTCAAAAGGGTGCCTGCCAATGGGGGAAAAGAATGGTCTTTTTAAAAGTTGCTGGGACAATAAGATATTCACATGCAAAATAATGAAGTAGGACCCATTTCTTACACCATACACAGTAACTAACCCAACATGGATCAAAAACCTAAGTGTAAGAGATTAAACTACAAAATTCTTAGAAAAAAAATATAGGAATACTCTTTGTGATCTGGGATTAGGCAAGTTTCTCAGATATGATGCCAAAAGAAGAGGTGACAAAAGAGAAAATAGAAATACTGAACTTTATCAAAATTAACCTTTTTTTGTGACTCCCAGAACACCACCAAGAAAGGGAGAAGATAGCCCACAGAATGAAGGAAAATATTTTCAGACTATACATATTAACAAGGAACTTTTTGCTAACAATATATAAAGGACACTTACAACTTACCAGTAAGACAACTAATTTAAAAATGGGCAAATGATCTGAATACACATTTTTCCAAAGAAGTACACGAACGGGTGGCCAACAGGCACAGGAGAAAATGCTCAGCATCATTAGCCATCAGGGAAACACAGATCAAAACTATAGGGATGCCTGGGTGGCTCAATGGTTGAGTGTCTGCCTTTAGCTCAGGTGGTGATCCTGTGGTCCTGGGATCAAGACCCACATTGGGCTCCCACAGGGAGCCCATTTCTCCCTCTGCCTGTGTCTCTGCCTCTCTCTGTGTCTCTCATGGATAAATACATAAAATCTTAGAGAAAAAAAAACTATAATGAGTGACCACTTCGTTGTATTAAGAAGGTTATCATGATCGTGACAAGAGTTGGAGAGGATAAGGAGAAACTGGAGCCCTCGCACAGCACTGGTCAGAATCTAAAGTGGTGCAGCCGCTTTAGAAAATCATCCCAGGGGGGATCCCTGGGTGGCTCAGCAGTTTAGCGCCTGCTTTTGGCCCAGGGCGCAATCCTCGAGTCCCGGGATCGAGTCCCACGTCAGGCTCCCGGCATGGAGCCTGCTTCTCCCTCTGCCTGCGTTTCTGCCTCTATCATGAATAAATAAATAAATCTTAAAAAAAAGAAAAGAAAAAATCATCCTGGCACTTCCTCAAAGGTTAAACATAGTTACCTTAGGACTCAGCAATGCTACTCCTAGGTGTATATCCAAGAGAAACGAAACATACGTCCACATACAAAATTGTACACAAATGGGGATCCCTGGGTGGCTCAGCAGTTTAGCACCTGCCTTCCGCCCAGGGCGTGATCCTGGAGTCCCACATCGGGCTCCCTGCATGGAGCCTGCTTCTCCCTCTGCCTGTGTCTCTCATGAATAAATAAATAAAATATTTTTAAAAATTGTACACAAATGTACACAGCAGTCCTCACAACAGCCAAAAAATAAAAGCAACCTGAATGTCCATCCACCAGTGAATGCATCCATAAAATATGGTCTATCCCTACCATGGAGTATGATTCAGTAGTCAAAAGAAATTAAGGGCTGACACCCGCTACAATGTGGATGAACCCTGAAAAATGCTAAGTGAAAGAAGCCTGTCACAACTGCATTGTGATTCCACTCATGAAACGTCCACAATGGGCAAAGCCCTAAGAGACAGAAAGACTGGTGACTGCAGAGGCCAGGGGAGTCAGGAGGGAAATGCAGAGTGACTGCTAATGGGCTGATGGGTATAGGGTCTCTTTTTGGGGTGACAAAAATGTTCTAAAATTTACTGTGCTGATGGTCACACCACTCTGCACAGACTACAAACCAATGAACCTACACTTTAGACAGGTGAAAAACCAAAAAACACGGTAGGTCAGACAAAAAGAGAAAAATGGAGAAGACAGAGGGTAAGGTGGGTAGGGCTGAAAAGAGATAAGACGGTGAGGGCTGCTATTTCAGGCAGATGGCTGGGGAAAGCTCTAAGGCAGTGACACCTGAGCCGGGTGAGCATGCTGAGCAAAGATGCAAAAAC